ACAACCCCCCCCCACACACACACTCCACCCTTTTTAAGGTGATAAGGGCCTCAGAAAGTTTCCGCTCCAGTCTCATCCCATTCTTCTGGCCTGCTATTGTTGTCTAGACTTAATTATATTTCCTATAAATGCTCCCTCGAACTGTCGCTGTCACTGTCCTCCCACTGTTCATCGATTTTGCTCAAGCTGGCCCAGTAACGTCTCCACTGTGACACTAGGTACTGTGTTTGGTATATAGAATACATCACGAGTAGCTTGCCAGGCTTTGTCGTGCGGGCGAGATACTCTCAGTAGCTTGCCAGGCTCTCTGAGAGGGGTGGTGGAATCGAACCCGGCTCAGTGGGGCCAGCTGCGTGCAAGGCAAATGCCCTACCCACTGTGCTATCACTCCAGCTAGTCTTTATTATTGCTATCTGCTCCATATTCAATGTTTTAGTTATGTCTTTCTTCTCATTTCAAATTCTACTGCCACTAAATAGGAATGCTGAATTACTGTCCTGGTGTCCTTTATCTGCTTTCTGCATGGTCAGGGAAAAGGTCCTCAAAGCCACTCTCCAGAGCCCTATGGCTTCCTGAGTACTGAGCTGGGATCAACCCCTGAATCCTTAGCTGGGAGTGATCCCTTAGCACTTCCAAAGTGTGGGCCCAAGCCCAAAACAACAAACAAAATACCTGCCCCTGTGATTATAGATTATTTTTAAACTTCTACAGTTATCACTGGCCACCTTCTAGAACTCATGGCTGCTTCTCCCAGAAGGGAGCATAAAATGAGGCCCCCCCATAACCATGCCACCAGACTCCATACCAGGCTTATACCCAGTGGTGCCAGGGGTGTCAGACAGCACCCAGGATGGGACTTGAGACCTCACTCATGCAAGTCATGCACTGCACCCCTACTGAGCTATCTCTCCAACTCTTCTTTTAACTGCTCTTTATATCAAAATATCTGCGGTTCCAATGAACATTGCCTTGAGTAGGATTATCCATATTCTCTTATCACCACTTTGAAATGAACAATTCACGAACCTTCAAACACAGTTGATCTGGAAGAAAAGCATGTAGTTAGCACTTCTTCCCCATGTCAGAATGAATGTGGACATTTTTAAGCTAATAAATATATGTAGGGGCTAGAGCAATAGCACAGTGGGTAGGGAGTTTGCCTTGCACATGGCCAACCTGGGATCTATTCCCAGCATCCCATATGGTCCCCTGAGCACCGCCAGGGGTAATTCCTGAGTGCAGAACCAGGAGTAACTCCTGTGCATTGCCGGGTGTGACCTCAAAAAAAGCAATAAATAAATAAATAAATATGAGTAGACTCCCTGGAACACATATTTTATTCTATATAAACAAAATCGAATCTGTAATAGGTCCCTGTACAAACACGGCTCTTTCCTTCTTTGATGTAAAGAGTCAAGTGATCTTTTGGTACTGGAGATATCTGGCAAATGCCTAATTTCAGTTCTCTTTCACAGACAAGGCAAAGGAATTAGTTGACATGCGAGCTGATATGAACAAACTATTGCCTCTACCACAAGCATGGCTGTGAGCTTGTTACGTTGAACACTGAGCAATTCCTAACAAGCGAACTCAATGTAAATTTATCTCAGTTTATAAAGCAAGTCAGAAACAGAGTCCAGTGCTTGTACCATTTGACAGTGAAAAATGATTCATAAACATATTTGCACGTAGCTAAAGGAGAAGGGGAGACATAGCATGAACTTTAGACACTACTAGTCCAGTTCATTTTTTTTTTATTGTGGGGAAAATAGACACAACATTGCTCATTTTTTTTGGTGGTGCCAGAACAGAAAAGGAACAAATCTGCCCAGTGCCCTGGGCCTTGTGTTTTCACCACATCCGTGGGTGAAGTCTTGTCACCCTCCAAATCAATGAGGTGTCAAAGGGATGGAAGACAGGGCTCACATATGCAAGGCGCACGTTCACCGCCCAGAGTGCTCAGATGAGCTGTGTGAAGTCACTCCGAAAAGACTAGGCAGTATTGAATGCTTGAGGGCGACACTGTCAAGAGGTGGGTGAGGCATTTCCTTTTGTTCTCTCTCTCCTTTTGGGTGTTGTGGTTTGCAAAAGAGGCATTGAATGGCAATCATGTTTGGTCTATAGTCTACTTTCAGCATGCTTCTCCCATCTTGGGAGGATCCTCCCAACACCCTTTATTTGGTGCTCCCTTCTCTATCTGAGCTCCCTTTTCCCCTAGCATTTGTGGCTGGGCCCTGCCACAGAGGCAGGGTGGGATGGGGGGATGGGGGGTGGGAGGGATACTGGGATCCGTGGTGGTGGGAAATGGGCACTGGTGGAGGGATGGGTGTTTGATCATTGTATAATTGAAACCCAAGCACAAAAATTTGTAAGTCTACAACTGTACCTCATGGTGTCTCATTTAAAAAAAAAAAGAGGTGGGTCAGGCAGACAGGAGCAGGATGCTGCCCCATGCAGACGGATGGGACTTGACAGCACTAAATTACCTTAGAAGATTCTGATTAACCAGAAGCTTGACAATGCAGCCAGGAAGGGAAACAGAGGGCAAGACCTGCAGGCTTCTTATCAAACTACCCCCAAAACAAATACAACTAAAGACTCAGACAGCTTTTCCGCTCTTCCCACAACTTATTTTTTTTTTAATCATTAAAATGCTGCAGGGGAAAGTCCAACACGGTAGCTCTGCTGCGCTGAGAGAAAAGGCCATTCCTCGGCTCGGGAGCGGGGGATGTCTGATCAATAGCTGGGCACTGGGCAGGCTCCACGCCGGCGCATAAGCACTTGCTCCACAAGGCTTCAAGGGGGTCCTTTCAGGAGTCTGAAGCACGCACGGGTGGAAATGGAACAAATCTGCCCAGCTCTCTGGGCCTGTCTTTCACTGAGTTGGTGGGCAACCTCATGTCGCCCCCCCCCCCCAAAGCAGTGAGGTGCAGTATGGGTGTCACCAGAAGAAGGCGAACAGGGGCTGGGTGTGAAGTGAGGCGCGAGACCACAGCAAAGGCCTCCCCACCCAGGGCAAGAGCACTGGCTCTGTCCATGTGCAGAGTGAGTGGCAACCCGCAACACACAGGTACTCACTCTTCTTCACCAAACCTCCAGGCAGGTCTGGATCACCCCCACTCAACAGCTGAGGGTAGGGGCTAAGAATGGGGAGCCAAGGGTTTCTACACCATTCAAAGCTGGGACTGGAGAGATAGCACAGCGGGTAGGGCATTTGCCTTGCACGCAGCCAACCCGGGTTCGATTCCCAGCATCCCATATGGTCCCCTGAGCAGAGCCAGGAATAATCCCTGTGCATTGCCGGGTGTGACCTAAAAAGCACTGTCACTGTCACTGTCCTCCTGTTGTTCATCAATTTGCTTGAGTGGGCCCAGTAACGTCTCCATTGTGAGACTTGTTGTTACTGTGTTTGGCATATCGAATACTACGCGGGTAGCTTGCCAGGCTTTGTCGTGTGGGCGAGATACTCTCAGTAGCTTGCTGGGCTCTCTGAGAGGGGCAGAGGAATTGAACTCGGGTCAGCCGTGTCGGCCGCGTGCAAGGCAAAAGCCCTACCCACTGTGCTATCGCTCCAGCCCATTAACAACAACAACAACAACAACAAAAGCAAACCAAAGCGGAGACTAGCATTCAAACACTGGGGAGATGCCAGACCCAAATGTCCTCAGTTCTGCTCCTAGCCCCTGCTGGGGCAAAGTCTGCAGGAAGCTCGCACAGGGCCAGAGACGGCCTGTGTTCAGTCGGTGCTTCTCCTCTCTGTGTGGCTGTTCTTATTCCAAGGCGGGAATGAGAACGCGCTACATGAAGGGGTGCTGCCCCAGCTCGTTTTCTTTTTTCTTTTGTTTTTGTTTTTGTGTTTTGGGTCACACCCAGCGATGCTCAGGGCTTACTCCTGGCTCTGCAATTAGGAATTCCTCCCAGCGGTGCTGGGGGGATCATATGGGATGCCGGGGGATCGAACCGGGTCTGCTGTGTGCAAAGCAAAGCTTCCCAGCTGTACTATTATTGCTCTGGCCTCCCAACTCACTTTCATGCGTGTTTAGTCCCTTTCTGGAATCCAAGTGCTTCTAACTCACAAACCACTTCTGGCCCGGCTATCCTCTCTGCCCAGGCCTCACTGCACACAAGCATTTCTGATTCTTTGTAAGCCCAGAACCTAAGTTAATCTTGCTTATCTGCGGCGGGCATGTAACTGGCCAAACTGAGGCTGCCTATCACAGCTGAAGAGTGCCCACCTCCTCTGGAACTGGCTGAGAAAGGAAAATGGTCAGTGGCTTGGGGGCAGGGATGTTCCCAACTTACCCTGTGGGCCTCTAAGCCTGGAATGCCTCTGCTTTCGCTGATGCTATAAATAGTGGCTGTTGACCAGGGACGAGTAACAGAGCCTGTCTTCACTAGGAATTAAAATAGTCCTGTGGTCTTAGGTGATGGGGCCCACACAACCTGAGCCCAGTTACCCAAAGCAGCAGGGATCTCCAGGCCTCTGGGCACGTGGGCTGCTTCACAGGTCCCCATGTACTTGGGAGCAGAAGACATGCCTTTGGTCTGGCCTACATCAGTCACCGTTTGTGCCGCAATTTGCCCATCTCTGTCATAAAAGCGCAGCCCGAGCAAGCCCTAAGGCCCTCCGAGGTGCGTCTCCAACGAGGCAAGTCACAGGAGCAGCAGGCCACGCTCAGGAGTGGCTGCGAACCCCAGGGGCTTCCCTAATCGGGTCCAGAATCCCCAAGCAGCGGGCTCACCCAAAAGGAAGAGTCCGTGCAAATGACATTTGGCACCCAGGAGTGCCTCTTTCCATCTTGCATCTGCAAGAGTGGTCAAAAATGTTTGCCAGGTGCACAGCCCTTTGGCCCGCCTGTCCCAAGATGACGGGGTGGGAACGCTGGTGGGTCAGCAAGGGGTGGACTGAAAGAGGAAAACTGTATTTTTTCAGTCTTGGGACACGAGAGGGACCTGGGTTAGAGAGCCACGGAGGGCAGATCCGCGTGGCCTCTTCTTACCTGGTAACACAGGATGGTCTGCTGCACCAGGCGCGCGTATCCGTCCAAGCGGACCCCGGAATTGCTCCGGCTCCTCATCTTTGGCAAGGAGCCCGAGGTCTCGGTGGTCGGGCCAGGAGGCCCGAGAGCAGCCGCGGCCCCGGCGGTTCCCGGGATGGAGCCTGGCGGAAGGGGGTCGGGAGTTTTCCAAGAGAGAGAATCGAAGTGTGAGGGCCGAGGCTGCAGGGGGCAGGGGTGGGTATGGGGCTGGCGTTGGCGCTGGGGAGGCCCCGCCTTGTCCAGACCCGCCTGGGCCCCGACGCTCACGGGTTCGGGTCGGGGACGGGTGCAAGGAGAGGCCTCCAGAAAAACGGAGAGCGGGAACGCGGGGCGACGACGCCCGCACCGAGCCTTTTTCTTTTTTTGTCTTCGATCGGGGGTGGGGTCGGGAGCGGGAGAATCCCGGGCGGGCCTCCAACCCCCCACTTGGCCTTCCCTGCCCGCCGCGACCCGCTCCCGGCCCCGCCTCCGGTCCCGCCCCCAGCCCCGCCCCCACGGCGGACCGGAACCCTCCGCGTCGCCGCTCGAGGGAGGCCTGCCAAGGGGGGGCTGCGGGAGCCGCGGAGAACTAGCCCCAGGCGGCAACCAGTCTGCCTCCCGGAGCCCCGTACCTCCCTACCCACCGCCGATCCCCGACCTCCGTGGAGGCTGGACACTCAGGCCTGGCCGTCGCCTAGGCCACCTGGACGCCCGGGACACGCTCCGGTCCCGCCCCCTGCCAGCCCCGGCTCCGCCCCTGCCCCGCCCCCTGCCTGCCCCGGTCCCACCCCCTGCCGGCCCCTGCCCTGGCCCCGGCCCCCGAGCCGGGCTGGACCCGCCGAGCCGGGCTTGAGCATCCAGGTGAGGGCATCCTGGCGGCTCTCCCGCGTCTCTGCAGCCCTGTGTGGAGCCCGGGAGATAACGGACTACGCCCGCCAGCGGGGCGAAGGACTCGATCCTGGGCGCCGCACGACGCAGAGGAGGTCGCCGGGATGTGCCGCCCTCCCTCCGCAGAGGCGGGAGAAACCGGCGCGCGCTCTGGGGCCGCGTGACCCCCATTTTCCGACTCCTGGCGGCCCGGAGACTGCTAGCCAAGCGGTGGGGCCACGACCACCCCCTGCGCGCCCCCGCCCGCCGTGCCTGCTGCTCATCTCATGCCAGCCTGCAACTTGGCGTCCTAGTTTTTTCATGGCTACCATTTACCTGCAGTTTCCACCCCACACCCCCAAAGTATGCATTTTCCACCCAAATCGGTCCATGTGTATCCCGCTGGCCAGCTAGGCTGACTTTCTGCGAGCACTTTGCTAGTTGGTGTGTTACTATGTGGTTACTGTTCGCTGGAGTCAATAAATAGATCCTCCCCACCCCCCACCCCCCCACCCCCGTTCCTTGCCTATTTATTCTAAACTGCCTTTCCCTTTGGGGCTAGCCTTGGCTCTTTCTCCTGATCAGCTTTCCCTTTCTCTGAATTCCTTTAGGAGTGTACGTTTTGGAGTCCATTCTCCTTGAGTTCAGATTCCAGTTGTGCCATTGACAAAGTGGTGTGACCTTTGGCGCGCTGTTTAAGCTGCTGGAAATGCAACGTACTCACCTGTAAAATGGGGATGATAATAGTATCTACCTCCTTGAGGTTGTGAAGCTCAAGAGGATGGGTGCAATGTACATAGCACTACAGCTGACTCAAGGGAAGGGACTGAGTGAACCACAGCCGTTTTTAATATTTCACAATAATGCACTGCTTCCATATTGCCTTTTATTGTTTTCATGCTAGGGATAGTTTGCTAATTGGCTTGTAAGTCACTGTTTGAAACATCTTTGGTATCTCCTACAGACCCCTTACAGTGCTGAGCATCTAGTGGTAGCTTTATTAGTTGGAATGTATGAATGAAGAAAATCAGTCCTCAATGGGCTGAAGGGGCTGCCACTATGTAAGATCCTAAACCAGTTCATTTAAAAAATTTATAACAAATCTATGCGATTCAACTAAAGTCACCATATTGTCTCACAGACGCATTGGGACACACCTGCAATACTCAGGGCCTGTTCTTGGTACTGTGGTTCTAGGATAGAACAGATCAGCGGATACAAGGCAAGTCCCTTAATCACTTATGACCCCTTTGTCCCTTTCAATTGGCTCTGAAAAAAATATGCAGCACGTGACATGTCTGTGGAACTTGTCATGGCCTAGCAGTAAACAAAACTGGACATGAAGTTATGATGAAATCTTTTTCTGAACCTGATTCAGGGGCTGGGGTGATGGCACAGTGAGTAGGGCACTTGCCTTGCAGGGGGCCGACCCGAGTTTGATTCTTCCGCCCCTCTTGGAGAGCCTGGCAAGCTACTGAGAGTATCTCGCCCACACGGCAAAGCCTGGCAAGCTACCCATGATGTATTCGACATGCCAAACACAGTAACAAGTCTCACAATGTTACTGGGCCCACTTGAGCAAATCGATGAACAGTGGGAGGACAGGACAGTGACAGTGACATTGAACCTGATTCTGCACCCTTACTAGAATTCTTATGTATTTCTGCACAGCTAAAACCAGGCTCATTGCTTTCTTGCTTTATTGCCTGTGTTCACACTGAGTGCTACTTTGAGAGTTCATTTTAAGTAACCGATGCCTTTCGGTCACAATCTGGCATTTCTCTCCAGTTGGGAAACACTGACTCTGTTTCTTGATCTGATTCTTTGTAAATTCTGTTCTACATTTCTGCCCCTTTGGGTGTGTAGCCAGCCTGCATGCCTTCTTAGACTTTAGTCCTGCATATTATCACGGGAGCTAAATTTTTCAAAAAGCTTGAAATTTGTGGCTAAGGGGCTGGAGGGATAGCACAGCGGGTAGGGCATTTGCCTTGCACGCAGCCGACCCGGGTTCGATTCCCAGCATCCCATATGGTCCCCTGAGCACCGCCAGGAGTAACTCCTGAGAGCAGAGCCAGGAGTAACCCCTGTGCATCGCAAGGTGTGACCCAAAAAGAAAAAAAAAGAAATTTGTGGCTAAAAACAAGAAGAAATGCTCCCACCTTTTAGTTTCCAAGTGAATGTTAGTGATTTGGGGGAGGAAAGATGTTTGTGGCCATAACCAGCAGTAATCCGGGCTTACTCCTTGCTTGGTGCTCAGGGATCACTCCTGATGGTGCTCAGGGGACCATACGCAGTACTAGGAATAAACAGGGTTGGCCTTGTGCAAGGCAAGTGCCTTGACCCTTGTATTATCTCCTCAGTCCCTTGGTGACCCTTTTTGAGGGAGATGTGGTGCTATATGGATATCAGACCCATATTTTAGCATCCTCTGTCTCTGGAATTCAAAATTTTCATATCTTGTTGGCTATAACCATGAAGGTACTTTTTCTGGTTACAGCGGGCAGAGACTTTGTCCTGCATGTGGCCAAACTTCCAAAGCGGGTTCCATCTCTGGCACTATATATGGTCCCCTGAGCACCACCAAGTGTGACCACAAAACAAAAAACAATTGAAATCTGTCTTGAAATCATTTCTCAAATACTTGTCAAGAACCTGCTTTTTAGGGGGCAGATTGATAGTGGCTAGGGCATTTGCCTTGTACCCAGCTGACCCAGATTCGACCCCCGGAATCCCTTATGGACCCCTGAGCACAGCTAGGATGAATTCCTGAGTGCAGAGCCAGGAATAACTCCCGAGCATCGCCCTGTGCCCCCCTAAACAAACAAAAAGAATCTGCTTTTCAAAACTACATACACAATAAAGAAAAAAATCTTTACAAAACATTTTAAAAACAACGAAAGGAATCAAATATGGAATGTGATGAATTGTGTTTATTGCTTTGGAAGCTGGTTCACGATCTTCAAACACATCCGCACACTCAACTTGGCTTGTACCATGCAGTGCCACCCAGCACCACCCAGCAGTCTATCCGTTGTCTTGCCACAGGGGCTTCCGCAAGGAAGGGGGAAGGTGAAAACCAACACATTTTCCCTTTAGTCTCGTCTTTGACTAAAGAAAAACACTCCAGCTCTGACACCAAGGAAAGGGTCAGTTCTTACTCAAGTTGTTGAAAATCGAGTTATTTCTGTGACAATTTAATGGTAGTTGACTGGAGATCATGTTGGTTTTCATCACACTATTTTAAAGAGTGTGAATTTGTCTCTTGTTTGAGCTAGTGTGAGACTGAGAGGGTGAAGGGAGAAAACAGCAGGGAGCATGAGATTTCAGCACAGTAAAGGATATTTTTATAAATATATTTAGGAGGATACTTTTCAAATGTGTTTACTTCTGTGTCCCAACTTTTAGGTATTCAACTGTAAGACTGAGCTTCTTAAGACTTTTCCCTCTTGCAACCCCTTTTTGCCCAAGAAATTTCCACACTACTTCAGGCAAATAAAACGGGCAGACAAATCAAACAGTTAGTGATGAATCATAAAGAAATTTATTTTAAAACAAAAATTTTGTGACAACCCCCCCACATTTAAGAAGGTAGGCCCTAAAGAAGGGCAAAAGGATTATACCGATAAGGATTCTCCCCATTTTATAATTCCTTTCTCATGTCCATCCAGTCTGTCCTTTTTCCTATCCTGAGTCCAGCCGAGGCAGTGAGGTGTGTGGCAGAAATAGACTCAAGATCCTTTTAAATACTGTCTTGGAGACAAAATGACAAATACACAAGTCCGTTTGGGAAACTGTTGGCATAGTAAGTTAACTCTTGATCAAAATGTTCTTCACAAACCCACCTTGTTAGACACAATTTAATATCAGCACGAAGCCATTTTGCTATTTCTGTGGATCATAATCGTGATGCTGCTTGCAGCAAGAAGGGAATGAGTTTATGGTATTCATGATTATAGAGTTTGGGGGAAACACTTTGGAAGGTTCTGAGGAGCTACTGTACTGGCCAATGTTGTGCCATCTTCGCTTCCTCATATTGGCCTCGCTGTCTCCCTCAATAAAGTCTCAAAGTTTGACACCAGTTTTATACCAAAGGATGACACTTACCAGGAACATTCTCTTTGTCCCCTGCCCCTTATCTGTCTGAAGTTGAAAAACAAAGTAAGAGAATTTGGCTTAAGGACCACAGTCAGATACAAAATAAGAAAATATAAAATAGGAAAATACAAAATAGGATGAGGAACCGAGCATCTAGAGGACATTGATTTGACACTGAGTACTGTTTTGTGCTCAATGGTTACAGAATATGGATTCGGGAGCTCTTTTTCTGGATTCTTACCCCCAATTCTAATATATCTCACCTCCTTCCTTATCAATTTAGTACCAGCATCTGTGAGGCAGCCGAGTGTCTTGGAAGAAGAGAGAATTCAGAGAACTTGCAGAGTAGAGGCCAGCCGCTCCTATTTGGGCTCCCCTAGAACCCCCAAATCCCACTGTTCAAAGCCAAGGAAGTAGCCACTGGGAGGGCTTCAGAGTCAGGCCCACGTGCCAATCAATATCCACATGTGTCCCAAAGACCATCTTGAAAGAATAAGTGGAAAACGAGAAAGAGGAACTTGTGAGGCAGAATTCTCCTCCCACAGGTCTGCAGTGAGCCTGCTGTCCCTAAGGGTGGTGTCTGTGTCAGTGGGGTAGCTTCCATGCTGCCCTCCCTAAAGAGAGCACAAACATTTCTGTGTGCCAATTCTCACACGAAGAGGACTTAACTGCAAATTTATTTGGTGGATTCAAAATGTGTTTCAGCACATTGTATATTTAACATATAGGTGAAAGACAATTAAATAAAGTGGAGAAGAAATACTGCCAAGATAAATCAGCACTCCTAGCATGCCACTGTAGTTACCTGGGACACAACACTGTCTGTCACTGTCCTCCCATTGTTCATCGATTTGCTCGAGCAGGACCAGTAACATCTCCATTTTTTGAGACTCGTTGTTACTGTGTTTGGCATATTGAATACGTCACAGGGAGCTTGCCAGGCTTTGCCATATGGGCGAGATACTCTCGGTAGCTTGCCGGGCTCTCTGAGAGGGGCGAAGGAATCGAACCCAGCTCAGCCAGGCTGACTGCGCGCAAGGCAAACGCCCTACCGCTGTGCTATCGCTCAAGCCCGATTCGATATTCGATATGTCAAACCTGGGACACAACATTCACTGGAAGTATGTGCAAGGGAGCCTTAGTGAAACACCTAACTGCTGGGCTTGGAAGTATCTCCTTAGGAGGACATACTTAGGGCTCACCTCCAGCCCCTATAGATGGGAAGCAAGAAACCCTCTCCAAGAAGAAAAAATTCAGGTTTTGGTACACATGCAAACAAGAGCCTTGCAGTATAGTTCACTGTTCCCCCAATGTCCCATCACTATCAACTCTTTCAATACCTGACAAATTAACAAAAATAGCAGAGCTCTGCCTGGATCAGGGTCTACCAGTCTACAAGTCAACCAGGTACCATGCAGCAGTTATCTTTGTAAAGAACAGCAACAGAATGTTTTCCATCTATACTCCCCTTTCCGGACAGGCTCTGGGGATTTGAGAAGTGGCAGTGTCTAGATCTCTTGTATGTTCACAATTTTCCTGACTTGTGTTCTGAATTACAAGTCCATCCCTCCCTGTAGCCAAGGTAGTCAGCGAAACAACTTGGTGATCAGGTCCATCATCTGATGACTAGGGGTAGGTTAAAAGATGATATGGGCATTGGATGCCACGTGTCTTTGTAAGGCTATCCCCTGCACCAGGTGCCCCCTAAAGAGTGAGTGGTATTAAAACACAATACTCAGGCTGTTTCCCAGAACTTCAACCCACACAGGGCTGTGTCTGCTTAGTGAGGGCACTTTTTTTCTTTTTTAAATAAGTCACTCAAAGGCTCTGCCTGAGCTCATTGTGGTACTGTCTGTTCACATTTCTCCAGTCTGGCTGGCATCATTCCCTCTCCTTTTTTTCCTCCCCCTTTTATTTTGGTGGGGGAGGCTCTCAAGTGGTATTCAGGCCCCTTTCAGCAATGCTTGGCTAATCTGGCTAGAGGTTCAATGCAAGGTCTCAGGAAGCAGCTCTGTGGAGCCAGGGATTATTCAGACCACCCCAGCAGTGCTAAGGGCAACTAGGGCTGCATACTGATGCTCAGGGGACCATATGGTGTCAGAAATAGAACCAGAGTCTTAAGGTGAGTGCCTTAACCCCTGTTCTATCTTGTCTCATCATTTCTTGATTTCAGTGACGTTTCTGTATTTCACATGCCACATAATCAAAAAGAGCTTTAGAATTTACTGAGCTGACAAGGATTCTCTGAATTATCACATTAGACATAACAACACAATTATGATTCTACAAAGAAATAAATTTACACAGTAGAAAATAAATACAAAAACTGTAGACATACAATTTTCAACATGTGGGTCACTAGAATTTAGCTTATTTACCACTAAGGCATGCACAGCTAAACTCACCAACAGGCTGAAGTCAACAATTGCTTTACAGGATGTTACCCAAGATAACTGAATCTCTTTAAAATGTGCTAGGAGAGGAAGTACTCTTTTTTTAACCACTTTTTCCCCCTAGTGTGTTGAGTAAAAGCGATTTCTTTTGGGGAATGGGATGGGCAGAAGGCTAAACCCCCTAATGTTCAGGGGCTATTCCTGGCTCTGAGCTTGGGAGTGACCCCTGGTAGTGCTCAGGGAACATTACTTGGTGCCAGGGATTGAACCAAGCTCAGCCGCATGCAAGGCAAGTGCCTTACTCACGGTACTATCTCTCCAGCCCCAAAGAGTAATCTTCTTTTCAAATGAAGGACCAGAAACAAAATCACAAGTGTCTATAAGCCAGGCTAAATGTCTTGATTTCCTCTTCCATGAGGACCCACGACCCTCAATTAGCTTATGCTCCTTCTAAGGTGGCTGAGTAGAAAACTAGTTGATTTTCAGATATCTCACATTGTGTAAAAGGTAAAATTAGACATTTTCACGCAGTCAAGCCTCATGCTTTGATTTTAGGGGGAAAAAATCACAGTTGCTCAATGATGTGTAAGCTTTCCCGCTTCGAAGTCCTTCTGAGGGCGAGCCGGCTCTTTCCATTGCAGGCGTCTTCTTTCTCATTGAACATGAGCTGTTTCCCAGTGAAATCATGAAGGCACACATCTCCATTCTGAGCACTGAAAGAAACACCATTCTTCTCCGTAGATGCATTCCCTATATAATGACAACACCGTGGTGCCATGAAGAACCCACAGAAAGTGTTTGAAAAGAAACAAACACCACCTTGGTCTTTAGACATACCTTGTACCCAGAGACACTTATAACACACTGTCATACTTTAACTCCATTTCATTTCTTCCCTAAGGCTACTAAAAGGAAGCAAAATGGAGGTGAACTATACTCAGAAATCAGTTCTCTGTGGTAGTTTTTTTTTTGTGGTTGTTTTAATGGTCAGATTAGAAAGCAAAACAATTTACTTGATCTTTTACTTGCTCATTTTCTAACTCTGGTGGAACATATATTGGATTCGAGTAGCTAGCATATATGTATAATAAAAACCTAAGCAAACTTAGCCTGCTGGTGTCCTCAAGAGATGATAGTTAACAGATAACTAGAGAACCCCTTATAAGGTCCTTGGTTCCCTATGATTGCTGAAAAATAAAACTGGTCTCAGAGGAACCTAGAACAGTCAGCTACCAGAATCACTGTAAGGAATCGTGTCTTGGAGACTCATGTGGCCTCTCTGACTACATCAGGCTAAGCCTGATTCCCCCGAGGAAACCACAAATCCATTCTGAAAGTCTGTGCCAGGAAGCAGCTGGGCATTCAGGAACAGCATTCTTCAACCTTTTTTTACACCTGCACATCGGCACCAGCTCACAGACTAGGTGGTGAAGAATACTCTATTAGGACCCCTGGGGTCCAATCCTGTACCTCCCCAACCTCAGGCAGGCCCAGAATTGTATACATGCAGTGGGAGTGCTGTATGTTGGGCTGGAGGCCAGCCATTGCTGCGGAAACCCTCTGTGTTCTTGGTACCTTCCTTCTGACCATTGTACAGGGCTGACACAGCGAGCAGAGTATTAAGCTCATTCGTTTGTTAATGTCATTATAATCATAATGATAACAGGGCTGAGAGCTTTTGAAGTAGAATCTCCTTTATCACCCTATGTGATACCAATGCTATTATTGTCCCCATTTCAGAAAGGAAGATCTGGAATGTAGCTCAGCGATAGAGTGCATGCTTTGCATGGGAGAAGCCCTGGGTTGGATCCCTGGCAAGAGAAAAAAAACATGAAATGAAGGTTTCAGATAGTGAGTGACATGGTTACATGGCTCAGAAATGATGGGATAAATGTGGTATATGGCATTCAAACTGTGAGATGACTCCTGGCACCCAAGCCTCTAAGGCAGTACAGACTGAAACACATACTGTTCATCCCAGTGAGGGGATGGGCATGTTAACACACATCCCTCCTTGATGCAGTTCAAACAATGTATGTGACTGTCAACAGTAGCTGGTGTTGGTGCAGGAGCATCTGACCTGGTCTAATAAACTAGCCAACTTTCGACTTCTTTCCTGAAACTTCCTAGCCACATTATACAACCTGGTGAAGATGGAGGAGTCAAGTAGGAGTCTAGCCAACTTGCATGTTAGGGGGCACTGGACACATGACTAGTTTGGATTCTAAACAAGCACCCCACCTTCTTGCGAGGTCTCAAAAAATATCCTGCTGTGAGATCAGCCAGGTCAAAAATCAGTGCACAGTAGGCTGTTTACACCCTGTCTGATTCCGGAAGGATGGTCCCTGATGGGTACAATAGGCAAGTGAGTCTTCATCTCTGAGCTCTTTGCAGGACACAGAGGATTCTGCCCTCAAAAGCTCACTCACGAACCGTCATGCTAGTCAGTGTGGTCACTAAGTTGTGACTTGGGATAACTCAACTCACCTCACACCTCTGATGCTTCTGTTCCACACTTGCTTCACACACTAACTTATTAACCAGTCCAGATTGCCACTACCTCTCCTCTATTTGCTTACCCTGAGTCATTCTTGACAGAGCTATTTGGCACGGAGCCCAGCGCTCTCCCTGTGGTAGCTATAGAAAAGAGCTAAGGTCACGTAGCAGCTGCCTCTTCTCTTATACAGAGAATGCTCTCAGGGAAGGGGGAGGGGATATTATCTCCCAAAACCCCTTTCACAATGTCTGAAGATATTTTTGGTTGTTACAGCTAGGGAGAGGGGGTGGGGAGGTAGCAAGTGGATGGGTGCTCTTGGTATCTAGTGGGTGAAGACCAAAGATACTGCTATATATTCCCAAATGCAGTCCCCTCACACACACACACACACACACACACACACACAAGATTATCTACCTCTAGATGTAGATAATTTTGTACTGTGGCTGGGAAACTTTGCTTAGAGACACCCCACTGTATTATAAGTGTCCTACAAACCAGTAGAACTGCCCATCTTCAGGCATTAGGAACTCTATTGGGTAGAAAGGGGAACCTTCTTATAAATGGATTTGGATTTTTCAGAAAAATTATTAGCACACTAAAACGATGACTGAAAGTCAGTTCTCCAGGGAAGGAGAAAATATACCAGAAGAATCTTAAGCTTTTTATAAAAATGCAAAGAATAGATTGAGAAGTTGAGAAAGATATATGTAGATGAGCCTTTATGAGTCATGAACAGCTCAGTCTCATGAGAGAAAGAAAATGTTAGAGAAAGTTTTGCCAGAAATGTCAGAATTTAATGAGCAGAGAGAGCTGCGGTAGCAATCATCTGTCCTTATACTGGTGACATACATGGACACCAATATTGGTCACAATTCATGGTATAGTGCTCAATGCATTCACAGGGATTTGGGCACTGCCACACACTGTGGAAAACATCCTAAGTAAAACTAGGAATTTTTTTGTTCACATCCTGCAATGCTCAAGGATTACTCCTGGCTCTGCACTCATGAATTACTCCTTGCAGTGCTCAGGGGACCATATGGGATGCTGGGGCTCGAACCCGGATTGAACATGTGCAAAGTAAGTACTCTACCTTATTGTACTACTGCTCCAGCCCCGCAACTAGGGAGATGTTTAAGTGTAGAAGCTGTGGCCAGTATAGAGGTAACCACCAAATACTGTTTACACAGGAATAGCCCAACCCTGAAGTCATTGGGTAATATTTAAATCAGGATTTATTTTGTAGATCTTTATATCTTTTTAGGGGTGCAGGGGACTCCATGTTCCTCAGGAAGTCTGAGGGCCATCATGGCCAAAGGATGAGTGGCTGCTCAGTCCCTGTAGTAGCAGAGATACCAGGTTACCCTAGAGTGGGTTATGCCTGGCAACACTTGTGGGGGCGGGGCAGCTATGTAGTGATGGGAATCAAACTGCATCCAGTGCTTACTAAGCATGCATTGAACCATAGTACTATCTCCCAGACCCCAAAAAACTAAACCTTGGAAGAAAAACCAAACTGTTCCGGTATTTGCTCTAAAATGAATAAATTTGGATTGATAAACATTCTCTTTTCTAAGGAGTTCTATTTTGATCCACCAACCACATAGGTCTTTATTCACTGTGCCTAGCAGAAATGTTGTGCAAGGATGATAGAACTATGTTAAGCAAACACTAGCTTGAGAAATACTATATCGGCATGTACATACCATTCCCGCTTGTGAGTCCCGCCTGTGAGTTATTCACTAGCAGCGTGGTGGAGTGGGTGGAGTTACTGTTTGATTGTAAGGAATTTGAAGAACTGGACACTCCTTGGTTTACAGCCTGCTTCTTTAAGCCATTAGTAGCAGTTTTATTCCAGTCTACAGCAGAATAAGCATTACAGAAAAACAGAGCAGTATATTGAAGCTCAATGCAAGAGACAGGTCACAGAGTACCCTGCTCTAACACTCATTTCCTAGGTCCAGTGGAATTACACACTTCTCAAGCTCAGATTTCACTTCTCAAGCTCACCCGATTTACATCTGTACACATGTGTCTATTAAAAGTATTTTAAGCAGGGGCTGGAGAGATAGCACAGCGGGTAGGGCTTTTGCCTTGCACGCGGCCGACCCGGGTTCAATTCCCAGCATCCCATATGGTCCCCTGAGCACCGCCAGGAGTGACTCCTGAGTATAGAGCCAGGAGTAACCCCTGTGCATCGCCAGATGTGACCCAAAAAGCAAAAAAAATAAAAATAAAAATAAAAATAAAAGTATTTTAAGCAATGTCTGCTTAAAAGTAACTTATATTCTCTTGGAACTCAAAGTAAGCCAAGCTGATTTGATTATGTCTATAAATATCCACTGACTTAGGTACTACATCAGATAGAGGGGCTGTCTTAAAAACACAAATTGACCATCTAGTGATGAGTAATGGTTCTTAAATCCACACAATTGATTGAATTGTATTCACTGCCATTCTGAGTCCAGATCTTATGCAACCAGATCTTGGTAATACTACAGAGATGGTGTTCATGGGTGGGATTTATGCCAAAGAAATTTAGTTTCTCAAACAATTCTTCATTTCTCTGATTTTCATAAGAATATTCTCTTTGCTCTATAATCTAGCAGGGCACACATGAAGAAACATCAAAATAGTCATATGTATGTTAGGACCAAATAACCCAAAGTTGCTAAAGTTTCTGTACAACACCTGCTCCACTAACAAGTTAAACAACTAACAATGAGGACCTGTGGAGAAAAGATTGAGCTGAGATTTCAGAAGTTAGGAAGGGACATATTAAAAATTCCTTTGAGTAAATGGAAAACATGAGCTCAAAAAGACATAAATCTAAAACTTTCACTGTTGCTTCACTCAAGCAGCACCCAACGTAATAATGCTACCACTTACTGAGTTCCCGGATTAAGTAATTATATATTTTTTTAGTTCACTAGGTTATTTTCCCCATAATGTTCACAATCAGTATTTTTTGTTGAAAGTTCCAGACCATTCATTGCCTCCCAGATCCCATAATCCTTTGACTTGCATGACTTTGATGCTTAACTTATTCAGTCTTTTCCTCAAGATTTCAGAGAAGAAAAAAAAATAAGGTAGATAAATCTTTACCAGAATTTTCAGCCAGACGTAACTTTCCACAACAAAGATACTGTCTCCATTGCTTTCGGACATTCTCTTTTGCTACACAGTAAAAGATGAATATGAAAAATCCTATAGGGGAAAGAAACCCATAAACAAAATGAATTGAAAACTAAGAGTCAGGTGTCATGAGCTTACTTTGCACAAAAATGAAAAACCCTTGGCAGCTGTAGGTGAAATGAAATTTTGCAAATTGGAAACAAAAGTTTACATCTCAAATCCTCAGATAGGTCTGTGCAAAATAAATCCCTACTCCCCAAACTAAACTTCAGCCTTCCCTATCTTCGGAGTCCTCCACCCTGTGCCAGCTGAGATTGAGGCTCAGAAGTTGCCCTCCCCAGTCCTCTGTAAGTAGAATCCATTTTTAGATTCTGTCAGATGCCCCTTATTCAGTCTCCAGCCCCCGCCTCCTTCTTCAGCCCACTGCCATGGCCCTTGCCTCTGGGCCTACCAGCATCTTCCTTAGCTTGGGGAACCATGTTAACATCCTTCCGGCAGGGCACCTGTACCTGCCTTAAGGACTGACTGCACGCCCTTTTCCTTTGCCACCCAGTGAGGCTATTCCAGGGAGCATGAAGGAGGGAACAATGTGTATCAAATGTGGGTAGCTGGGTCTAAACCCGAACTTTCACATCTCTCCATAATTCAATCTCAAACCTTTGTGAATGAGGTGTTCATTGCTTTCTGTAAGTGAAATAAGACAGTCCTTCTAGTCATTCACAGTCCAGTGCGAAGCGACATACAGTAAGTGAAGAGACGCAGGGTCATTTTCCACAGGAAAATGTGCAAGGTGTTTTTTTGTGTTTATGATTAGTATACTTTAAGCATACTCCCTCCCTCCCCCAAGAGTTTTCTATTTTCACATGCCATCATTGACAAATAATGCTTTTCTATTTAAAACTGTGTAGTGCGAACCTTGGATCTCTAGATCAGGAATTTGTACTTTAAAGGGGAAACAAACAACCAACAAGCTCATTAAGAGACATCCTCCCAATAAAATAAGAAACAACAGCCAAATTTGGCATTTGACTTCAATCTCAGGTGAAAATTCAATTTCATTTCTTTAAAACCAGTAAAATGGGTGGTGGAGTGATAGTATAGTGGGGAGGATGTTTGCGTTGCACATGACCCACCTGGGTTTGATCCCCCCCCCCACACCCCATATGGTCCCTGCAGCCCCACCATGAGTGATCTCTGAACACAGAGCCAGGAGTAAGCCCTGATCACCACCGGGTGTGACCCCCCTCCTCTTTCCAAAAAAAAAAAAAAAAGAAATCTCAGTAAAATGATCTATTGCCTGATGGGACTACAGAAGGCCTCACAGAGCACTACAAGAAACAGAAAAAAAAGTTGAAAACAAGCAGATGACATGGGAGTTATAATGCATCCCTGGACTGGGGAAATAGCTCGATGGGCTGGACCACGAAGGAGGCCTGGGTTTGATTTCCCATCCCTGACACCGCCAGGTGTGGCCCCAGAGCAAGAATAACAACAACAACGACAAAAAACATCCCAATAGATACTTTGAAACAAGAAACATTCATTAGTTATTATAATATCAACCTATTAGCCTGCTCAGCTTTCAATGCCAAAGCACTTCTATCGCAAATTAATTATAGCTGACAAGTCTTTGACAGCACTGATCCAAATGAATTCAGAATTCCAAGAGGTTTGGAGATGCCTGCAGCTGGGCTTCGTTAAGGAACGGGAATCTCCCAAGTAGATTCCCCATCCTGACACAAGTCCCAACACAGCAATTTCTCTGCGTGAGTCACGTGCAAGGCAGGCTGCAGCCATGGGGGTCTGCATTTATCACTGCCTTCAAGAGAAATTAAATCTCATCTCCAGATCTAGGAGGTGAAGGCAGTGAGCCTCAAAGGGACAGTTATGGTAGGTGTGCTCTCTGCAGGCAAGAAAACTCCAACAAAAATGAAAAACAAAGATAACAAATTGAAGAGTACTTGACTCACCAAAGGAGGGGGAAAAATGATTTCTTAAATTTCACGAACAACAATCTCAAAGCCTCCTTTGCTAAAGATAAATAGATCTGGGGGTGTGTATTCCTGTTTATTTATTTGTGTGAGTGTGTGGGGGGTACACCCGGAGGTGTTGGGGCAATTCCTGGCTCTGTGCTCAGGAGTAACCCCGGGCAGTGCTTGGGGCACCATATTGGGGATTTGGACTGGGCTGGCAGGATGCAAAGAAAGCACCTTAACTCTTATACTGTTTTTTTTTTCCCCAGCTACAAGGTGAGTATCTCTTTTATTTACTTATTTACTTGACTTTAAATGTATCACTGTCAGCAATGCTCAGGGCTTACTCCTGGCTCTGCATTCACGAATCACTCCTGGTGGTGCTTGACCATATGGGATGCCAGGAATATAAGCCGGATTGGCTGCATACAAGGCAAACGCCCAACCCCCGTCCTACTGCACCGGCCTCAGGTGAATATCTCCCAATGCATTACTTTGTAGACAATTTTGAGGTTTGAAGGCCAAATGCAGCAGTGTCCAGGGTCTATTTCTAGTTTATGCTCAAGAGAAACCCCAGACAGGATGCGGAATGGAACCAGGACAGGTCAAAATGGCCACAGGCAAATCAAGTGCATCTCCTGTACCAGCTCTCTGGCCTCGTGTAAACAGACTAACTTGGAGTGGCAATAGTTTTAGGTTGGCTGGTAATGGTTCCATGTGCATTCAGTGGAGGACAGCTTACCTTGTAAGGTATTAAAGATGGCAAAGAGGTACATGAAGGTAGTGCTAACTGGTCCCCAGGCAAAGAAGGCAAAGCCCCAAGTAATTCCCAGTAAAAAAGTAAGGCCAGCAACACTCCTGAGGTCTTGAATACTGGTTTTTCGCTGGGCTCCCAGTTGCTTCTTCCTTTTAATTCGACAGAGCTGAACCAGGACCACAATGAACATGCTGAGGTTCACCAAAAAGATCACACAGAAATATCCCACCACGGTAACATAGAATACAGCATTGCTGTTGATCCAGCAACTAGAAATGGGGGGAAAAAAGTACAATGCTGAAACAGGGTTCAAAGGGCTACAAAGAATCTATGTTTTACAGAAACATTTCCTACAAGCACTGGAGGGAAAAGAAAATGAGATCTCAGTCCCCACAATCAGGAAATGGAGAAAAGTCTGAGGGTTTATTTTAGGATATGTGGTGATTAAAGTATTTAAAGACAGTTAGGATTGTAGCCCCTTTAAGTCCTAGTAACAATTCCATGAGTTCTTCCTAACATAATGTTAGTCACATTTTATTTTTATCAAAGGCATATAAAAGAGTTCCAAAATACTTCCCTTGATTCATTATTTCATACTTATGTGGTAGAATGAACTTTCCAACAATGTCCTTTTGTTACATATTGTTAACTGTGGGGGCTGCTGTAATATTACAGGAATTTATTAGGATGAGAGCTGACATTAGTTTGCTGGTAGATCCTCCACTTTCATTGGGAATTGTTTTCCCCTTCATTTAGCATCCCCCGTACTACCTTCAATGCCCCTGGGGTTCATACTCACAAGTCGTCAGACGAGTCATTGGGAAATTTCCCATAGGATCCAAGCCCATAGCTATCTGGAGATACAGCGAGGATGATGATCACAACTACAGCTGGTATCCCTGGGACACAGAAAACATTGATCACCCACAGTTCTAATAACCAACAGTGGTGAGAAGAAAAAAGATAGATGTCCTGTTCTACTGCTTTCAGGAGGCAGAGACTGCTGAGCTTGTCACAGAACTGATGCTCCTTTTCTCCTTGCCTCTTGGCTGGATGGTCCCAGATTCTCTTGCAGCTAGGTGTGTGCAGCCATACAACTGGGTTTTAGCCAGCAGGGGGCATGTAGAAGGGATCTGCTCCTCCTCTTGGTCTACCCCACAGAAAGCACTGTGAGTGCCTCCACTGGTTTTTCTTGCAAGTTCAGGGATTCCATCAAAGCCTGTCTTAAGGAAGTGCCCCCAGCAGCTTGCATCTTGAATAGCTGCAAGACACAAACCTTCCACCCCTGAAAACTGGACTATGCAGGAGTGAGAACTTCTCTTCCCCTGACATTTCGGCGCTTTCGAGCTACAGCAGCTAGTGTTACCTTTAAGTCACACAGATCGGGAGCATCATTTTCAGGGTCAGGTGACAGGCAAACGAAGGACTCGAACATGTTAACCACAAGTGAGTCATAGTACAGTAGGGTTACGATCATCTCATGCAAGTCTTAAATGCAGAACCCCGAAGTCCCTAATGAATTATCTGGAACCTGTTGTCAGGTTGAAGAGCCTGAGCTGGTTGGGGTAAGACAGGTGAATACTACCACATAGGCTCTGTCATGTGCTAGTGAGCACTTCTGCTAAGAGAAGGCACAATGAGAAGACCGTGCCCACTTTAAGATGGCTTTGGGCTGGGGAGGAGTCCTTTCACCCCTTCACCCCTCTTCATACAGAACCAAGTATACTCTGGCCACAGATATCAGCCTGACAACCACTCTCAACATTCTGGTAAGCAAAACAGTCCCCAACAGGCTATCAGCCAGAAATATAGTATTGGGGTTAAGCAACCTCTTTGCACACAACCCACCTGGGTTTGATCCAAGGCACCTCATATAGCCCCGTGAGCCCCACCAGAGTGACCCTTGAGCACAGAGCCAGAAGTAAGCCCTGAACATCACTGGGTATGACCCCACATTCCCCCCAAACAAAAACAAGTCCTTCTCACTGACAGGTGGAGGTACTGGCACCATTTCACACAGCGTTTCATTTAATTCCTAGACAGCTGTTCTTTCCAGAGACACTGACTGGGTATGAGGCTGTCCTAAGTCCAACACTATCTAAAAAGAAAACAATGGGCTGTGTGATGTCACTCATTCCCAGCCGGGGAATTGGGCCTTTCTATCTTCCACAAAGTAGACAGAATCCACATAGAGTCTAAACCACACAGAATCTAAAGACAGAATCCACATGCCAGAGCTAGTTCCTTGTCTTTTGGGGAAGAAGGCAGGTGGAATATGCTGAAACATGCTGTTCTGTTGTTCTTCACAAAGAGAGAACAACAGGCAGACTGACAAGGGTAGCTATGCTGTTGGATAAGGACTATCAAAAGGAATGTTGATGTGGAAGAAGAGGAGGGAGTGGAGGAGGGAGGGAGTTGGCAGCCATAACATGGTGGAAAGAAAGTACATATCCATCAAGAAGCAAAAAGCAGGCTTGACTGCTCTTAAGCTGTGTGCCTGAGGGGAAATTGTCATCATGCTACCATTCAGCCAGTTTTTTTTTTCACTGGGAATTCACACATTGAAAACAAGGGCATTGCACAGGTAATAGATAACTTACAAGTAATCTAAAGGGCTCTGACAGATGTATGGACCTATTAATGTTTCTTTTTTCCTCTGAGATAGCAAGACCAAGATCAGTGTGTAAGTGCCAGCAGGAAGTCAACTGAACTTCATAGAAAAACAGAACCAACCAGAGCACTCTAGGGAACAACTGATTGTTTTCTAAAGTAATAAGCTCCCCAATACCAGAAGTGTTCAAGCATAGATTAGAGATGGTCTCTTAACCCAGGGTAAATCGAGTTGAGAAGATGCCTATATTTATTTGGAAGGAGAGAGGAGTTTGAATGGAAAGAAACCTAGATTCAGGGACATATAAGAGGTTGTGACCCAGCACCAATAGGAGGTGTAATATGCCATGGGGATAAAGATATATTAGGTTTTATGTGTATATTCTCTGTGCCCTTTTGGGCATACTGTCACTAGTGCATGTGGTATCTAGAGTCACAGAATAGACTGGAGCTTCTGGGAGCTCCAGGACTCAGATTTTGGACTCATGGTCACCAAGTGAGCCTTTTCCACTTCTGGAGCACCTTCTGTGTACAGGTCCCAATTTGAGTCACTTCAGGTACAAAGAAACCTCACGGCCTTAACTTCAAAGTATTCTATGCTCATAACCAATCTGGGAAAAAGTGGTGTTGAGGAAAGGAACAGAAGGTTCCTCTTTGGGCAGTAATACAGATAAGAAAAGAATCTGCCAAGTGTGACTTGCTTCCTCACTGTCTCTGACAACTCAAAATCAAATCATCAGGGAAAATTCAGAGAAAGGCCAGGCAATATGCCAGCAACATTATACATACCCCAACCGATAATGCAGAATTTAAGGATGTATTTTCGGATGTAGGTATTAAACACTTTGACAAGAGCCAGGTACATATGGAAGGCTTCCAAGCCCATCCATGTGAACGAAACCAAGAGAAAATAATGCACAAGTACAGCTACAGAGATGCAGAGGCCTCGGACTTCATACAAAGCAACCCATGAGTCCAGTAGGAAGGCCAGGTTGAGCAGGAGCAGAGCCGCACATAGTTGGATGAGGATTTTGGAAGGGTAATCCCGGCGGATCTTTCTAAATGGACAGAGAAAGAAAAGTATTAGCATTGTATTTTGTCAACCTTTATGTGAGCAGAGCTATCAGACTGTTCCTGAGTTCAAGTCATTTATTTTTATCCTTTGGTAAATGTCTATACGCATTTTTTCTCTTTGAGTGAGTGTATCTGTGCATGTGGCAGAATTAAAGCCAGCAACAGTAACAGCAAAAGAACAATGCACACAGAGATTCATAAATAAATCTTGAAAGAGATCAACAAGCCGCTGAGATTCTTCCAGACCTCTTGCCAGGGTGAGTCTCATATCCGGAGTACCCTGAAGGGGGAGGGTGAGCCCACCACCTGCTCAAACAAAGCTCTGGCAGCCAAAAATTCCACACTCAAATCACTGCCGTGCTTATGGCCAGGCTCCACGGGCTAAGGACAAACCTCATCCAGGAACGAATTTTTTGGAAAACTCAGGTATGCGGGTTTTGTGACTGAAATTTCCAGGCTTTCATGGAGTCAGGGAGGGGGTACCTACCCCCATTTCCCTGTGCTTCCTGGAGCCTGGCAGTCATACCCATGAACTGCCTCTGATGTCATGTAAGCTCATTAACTGGCCATGACCCTGAGGCTCATAAATAAATCTTGAAAGGGATCAACAATCTGTAGAGATGCTTCCAGACCTCAAAGTCACCATCCAGCTAAAAATGTAACTCCAGTTGTATCATCCCATTCAAAATTTTAGAATCCCTTGAGCGACATCTCAAACTCTACACCATTGGTATACCAAGAGTAGTAAACCACATTGGATGGGTTATAATAGGCAACCAACATCAATTAAGAAAATATCAACACACAAGGCTTAACCTGTAACCATGTGTTAGTAATCTCTTATACAAAGGCTTGATAGCTCCAGGGCAAGATACAACAATCTTTACACACTTTTTTCTAAGGGAATCTTTTTAAAATCATTTTAGCAAATTATTCATAAGAAGCAATATAAAATAAATATTTAGGACCTGCTATTGGAACAGGCTTGGATGGTTGTTGTGAAAATTGGAAATAACAGTGGTGGGAAGATGCCATGGTGGTGGGATTGATGTTGGAATATTTAATGTAATATCATCGTGAACAACTTTATTTAAAAGAAGAACAATGCACACAAATGCATCCTTGTGAACAAATGGAAAAATTTTATGTGGACCCTTTCACATTCTGACTGTTGAGCCATCCTTGTAAATAGTCTATAGTGGCACCCACTGAGCATTCATTCACCCCCATTTCTCCTAACCTACTTCCAGAAGCAAAGAAGCTGCTTTTCATACAATAGACTGCTATATTCACTCTTCAAAACATAGCCAGATTCCCCCTATTATCTTATTAGTTAAAAATGAGGTCATGGAAAGAAGGTTAAACTATAGCTAAATGTAGAAGGCATCGGAAAGTACAGCTAACTGATGACATGTACATGTTATGTGTGTGAAATCAGAACTGGTGAAATCATACTGAGTAATGGCTGGCCTTATGGTAATTTAGTCTCATTAATACTATTTTCACAGATCCATGAGAAGATCTGTAGTCACAGCTGGACCCTCAGCTTGGCACTGAAAAGAAATTTGTGCATTTCTTGATCAGTGTCCAAAACTGAAATCCCAGAATCTACATATTGCTCCATATAATTAATGCAATAAAAGAGCCTATTTCCTTCTTTTCCAGCAGAAGTTGTTCAGTCCCCCAAAGTTACCAAAGGGACCCATTGGGTAAGCTGTACGGATGTCATCCTTGCTGCAGCCTACAAAGATGTGCTCACCAAGTGTCTCTTTTCTCCTTTGAGGCTTTGCCTCCTTTATTCTTCAATGCCCCACCTTCATTCACCTTCTTATCCACTCCTTGTGTTTGCTCAGCATAAATAAGAGATTTCATATATCAAATAGGGCTCTTTTTGACATCCGTGGAGCAATGATCTATTTCCAATTGTAAGCTATTGGGTTCCGGGTCTGAATCCATCTTTCATTTCACACTATTGTCAGGGAGGTACCAGGCATCTTTTGGGAGGTTTCAAAGATCATTAAGATACAAGTTCTGCCTTCAGTAAGTGCATGGACTAAGGCAGATGCCAGCAGATGGACCAAAATGTGCATGAAATTTTATATTGAGGTGGGCTATACAGGATAAGGAAGGCAAGGCTCCTGCTCAACCTGGCCTTCCTACTGGACTCATGATGTTCCATTCATACATGATTGCTGCAGCCTATAATCCAAGTTGCCAGTTATGGATACTCACTCAAAGACTATGTAGGTTACGAGAGTAACTGACAGAAAAATTGATGAAAACCCACAACCAATATAAGTGATAAATGTCAGAGCAATCATCTCAGCAGACGGTAAGGAAGTTCGAGATAGGTCCTGGAAAAGAAGATACTGCTTTTAAGACCGCATATTTTGAAACAAACTAGAGTCATCATATACAGGTATTGAGTATTTTAACTGCCCCTCCATCGTCTGTTTAATAAACCTACAAAGATGGAACAGTTACTGTCATCAGGCAAAGATAAAGAAACTGAGGCCCAAAGAGGTAATTTGCACAAGGTCACAGAGCTAAGAGGCAGAGGAGCCCAGGAGCCCAATTCAGCTCCAGCCTATTCCTAAGTCTACATGCATTCTCACTACACTCATACTTTGTCATTGGCAAAGCTCTACGCTAAGAGCCTACCACTTGGACTTGGCTCCTCACTCTTGGTGCATGTCTTCGGTCTATGACTGTGGGCAGTTCCCTAACAAATAAATGTCAATTCTGACATCATGAAGATGATGGTAGCCACACTCCTTTCTACCCATCTTGCAGGATTATTGGGAAGATTCAATGAGATAACTGATATCAAAGGTTTTTCTAAAGATGTTCAAGTGCCTGAAAACAAAATATTTTTATGACCCACTTAAATGTGAATTCCCTCAGCCTAGGTACTGAAAAGAAAAAAATGTCAATGTCTGTATAAAATGGGGAAAATGGTTGCCTATTCAAGCACTTTTCTGCAAGCACTTTGCTAACTGGAAGAATAAGTAACTGCACTATGGAAATCCTCCAGTGCATTAGGCACCCTGCTCTGTGGCCCGACCCCTCTCCTGACTTTGAGTCAAGTCTTGGGGTGCAGCAGGTGCGGGTGTTACCAGTAGGATGCCAAAGCTTGTCAGGTGGTTGCAGGTACAGGTGGTCTCATTCAACTGCTGTTTTTTGACGGAGCAGCCCTCGGGAGACCAGCCGCCTCTGCCATCTGTTGGGAAGAGGATCCGTGTGAGCAAAGTCACAGCCTGAGTGATTGTTCTTCCTCCTCTCCCACTCCCCAGAAAAAGAAAGGCAAGACAGGAACCTACCATTTTCGCTCAAATTCCAAAATACACATCTTACTCTCAAGTCACTCTGCAGTGGAGAGAGAAATGACAAAGAATTTAATAAACTAAAAGAACAAACAAACAAACAAACAAAAAAACCCAGAAGAGCAATTTGGGAACAAAATTTACAAATTTGGTGGAAAGGGAGTTCGACCCACACTTGGTGGCTCACAGGGTTTACTCCTGGCTCTGCACTCAGGGATTATGTGCTGGGGGAGGGGTCAGGAGACCCTGTGGTGCTTGGGATTGAAACTAGGCTGGCTGCATTCAAGGTAAGTGCCCTAACCCCTGTGCTATCTATTGGGCCTTATGTGGGATTTTTTTTTTAAATTGCACAATCTCATTTGGAGATTTCTAATTTTATACTGGTTCCTGGGTGGGGTGATGTGTGTGGGGGGGGGGAGTGGTGACTCATAAACTATTTTTTTTTTCTCTGACAGGGGTAGAACCAGAGCCTCACACAAGAGGTATGCGCTCTACCACTGAACCACATCCTGAACCCAGTCGTCACCTGTTTTTCCTTCTTGGGGGAGCCACACCTGGCAGAGGTCACTGTGTTGCTGGTGGAGATGCTCACGGGACCATGTGGTCCTGGGAATTGAATGGGGTGGATCTAACCCAGGACTCTAGCATGCAAAGCATGTGGGTTCAGCCAGCTAAGGTATTTCCCTGGCTCCAGTCATTATTTCTTTTTTTTTTTTATTTTTCTTAGCGAAATACCATAAGGTACAGTTATAGACTTACAAATTTTTGTGCTTGGGTTTCAATTATACAATGATCGAGTACCCATCCCTCCACCAGTGCCCATTCTCCACCACCACTAATCCCAGGATCCCTCACACCCCCCATCCCCCCATCCCACCCTCCTCTGTGACAGGGCATTCCCTTTTGTTCTCTCTCTCCTTTTGGGTGTTGTGGTTTGCAAAAGAGGCATTGAGTGGCAATCATGTTTGGTCTATAGTCTACTTTCAGCATGTTTCTCCCATCCTGGGAGGATCCTCCCAACACCCTTTATTTGGTGCTCCCTTCTCTATCTGAGCTCCCTTTTCCCCTAGCATGTGTGGCTGGCCTCCAAGCCATGGAGCAAACCTCCTGGTACTAATCTCGGCCGCTCTTGGGTGTTAGTCTCCTATTTGTTACTTTATGTCCCCCAGATGAATGCAATCTTTCTATGTCTATTCCTCTCTTTCTGACTCATTTTGCTTAGCATACTTTCCATGTAGTACCACTTATATGTAAATTTCACCCAGTCATTATTTCTTAAATTGAATAATTTTACATAGAAATCACCTGGGGAGCTTTTTTTATTTGGCTTTTTTTGGGTCACACCCATTGATGTTCAGGGGTTACTCCTGGCTTTGCACTCAGGAATCACTCCTGGCGGTGCTCAGGGGACCATATGGAATGATGGGAATCAAATCCGGGTTGGCCGCGTGCAAGGCAAATGCCCTACATGCGGGACTATTGCTCCAGCCCCACCTTGGGAGCTTTTAAAAACACAATTCTCTGGGCCCGGGAAGATGGCTCAAAGCTAGAGTGCATACTTGGTCTGCAGAACCCCCAGGTTCTATCCCCGGTACTGCTTGCTTTCCTGAAACACCACCGGCTTGCTCCTTTCCCCAGCAAAATAATACACATCCGACTCATCAGCCTGGGGGAGGGCTCAAGAGGCTGCACATCCCACAAACTCCCCGGTGATGCTGGTGTTGCACCTCACTAGCAGCCTTCGGGTGCTGAGGATCAGACACACACACAGTGTGCATGTGGTGAGGATCAGAACCATAGTCACAGACCCAAATCAAAAGTTTCCAAAGTTATTGGGCCAACGACCCCCTTTTTAGAAAAAAGAAATCACCCAGGACCCCTTTGACAATCTAAGAGAATAAACAGAAGGTGCCCCCTAATGGCACCCAAGGTTACTAGCACTGCCTAAATTATTCTAGCGCCCTCCCCCCTCCAGGGGGAGCTAACACCCACTTTGGGAAACATTGAGGTGCACTGAAATTGGGCAACGGGGCAGAACTTGCCTTTGCACTGCCTCCACCTAAGAAAACCCATGGACTAGTCTCACACTGAGTCTCACACCTTAAGGTCTGCTGGCTCTGCCTTTCTCAGACCACATTGTATAGACGTGGCTTACGCAGGGTGTTTCTGGCCAATGAATAGACCACACTGGCCTCTCCCACCTGGTTTGGATTGATGTGTTTTAATGTCACCGTCACGTTTCTTGTCAAGTTCTCAATGGTCAGGTTCCCAACACTTGATGATATGACATAGCTGATGAGAGAGAGGTTGTCCAGGGAAGGGTCCTAGAGTACCAAAGAATCAACAAGAGATGAGGAAATGTTATCAGGACTCCAATGGGGCCCTCAGGACCATTTAATCTCCATTGTTTAATTTTACAACCTAGCTCAGAAATTTGAAGTTGGGGAGTAAAGTGACTTTCCCGAGGACAGTCAGGAACAGAACCTGTCCCACTCTGCAGTGCTCTAAAGGTTGTTGGTTAAATTTCTCAACCTGACACCACAGAATCATCTGAAAGGTAACATAGTACTAAGGCATTTAAGCTGCTAGCCCATGACCAGGGTACAGAACCTCTCTGCCTCCATGTCTTTATCGATAAGATGTGTCATATTGCCTAGTTCTGCTCTCACTGAGATATTAGAGGATTTGAAAGAAAATGTTTAAGGACTTGGGCCAGTGCCCTGCAATTGGTAAAGGCCAGGTGAGTGCCTGTTGCTGTTCAAATCAATGGGAGGTTTTGAGCAACCCCTTTCACTTCTAGCAGGTTTCAGAATACGTGAGGATCGAAAGAAACAAAATCCCCTCTTCCCCCAATAAAACCTAAGTCAAGAGCAGGTAGCAACAGCCAGTTTACCTGAAACAGGGCAGGTGTTTCAAAAAAGTTGAACTGAATCCTTGACGCTAGCTCTGCATCTGCAGCTGGTATGTTACTCATCAGCGATGAAGGTAGAGTAATGCTACCAATGCTGTTCTCAGGAGCCTCAGCTTCCAGAGATACCTGAAGATCAAGTTAAAGATAATAAACATGGGGCTGGAGCGATAGCACAGCGAGTAGGGCGTTTGCCTTGCACACAGTCGACCCAGGTTCGATTCCCAGCATCCCATATGGTTCCTCAAGCACTGCCAGGAGTAATTCCTGAGTGCATCACCGGTGTGACCCAAAAAGAAAAAAAAAGATAATAAACATATCTGGGGGAGAGTACAATGGGGAGATGGAAACAGCAACTGATTAAAAGTCCAGAGGTTCCTGGACTGAGGAAGGGTTACGGCATGTGTTTGGCATGAGAGAATTCTGGGTTTGATCCCCAATACTACATGGTCAACACCACTGGGTGTGCTCTCCCTGCCTCCACCCCCACCAAACAAACAAACAAACAAACAAAAACCAGAGGATCTAGGATGGGATTGATCTACGGATCTCGGTGTAAAATCAGCTCTTCTGTTTCTCTGAACTTAGAGAAAGTGTGTGAGCAATTGGGACATGAGACCTCCATGCACGAAAGGAAATATTATAAGGATGCACAACAGGCAGGAAGTGTGGGGTATAAAATCTCAATAAAGCTGCAGAAAAGGTGTAGGGGAGCTGCAGGCCCAGGGATGTTGCACGGCTGACACTCCAAGCAGGTGACCTATCAGGGCAAAGTCTTCAAAGAGCCACGTGCACTAAACTATAAAGGGAAGGCAAAAAGCAAACAAAAACCAAAACAATTAAAGGGCAAAATTTGGGTGTTTCCAGCCCCTAATTCCTCTAATAGATGGAAAGAAAATATAAGAAATGGGATCAAAATTCAGCACGTTCGTTCACGCCAAAATAGTAATAACATTTGTTAAATTATGAGTCCCTCCCCAAAGCTCCAACCAAAAGTAGAATGTTTTCTGGATCTGAGACTGTTCAAAAAAGTTTCCATATGAATGTATGGTAATGGAATTTCCAGACCCCCAAATTAACCTATTAAATCCTGCCAGAGTGGAACATTCAGCCTTCTTATAGTGGGGTGGGGGTGGGGCTGTAGCTGTATTGAAATGTATTCCAAAGTACCTGATATCTTTTCCTGTTCTCTCCCAACTTAAGAACCTCCATTGGACACGCTCCTCCAAATACCACTCTCACCCCCAAATTTTCACAATCTAGTTGCTAAAGGGTTAATATTGAACACAAGGAGGACCTCTGAGATGCTGTGGAAGCCAAGACCGAAGTCCTTCCTTTGAGTCTGTGGTACCTCATTGTTCTAAATGTTAAATAATTTGCATATATGTCTTATCTATAAGCAGTAATTGCCACACTCCTGAAATCCACAGAGATCATAATCATAAACCCGAAAATGTTTTTGCCCCACAATAAACGGCCAGTACCTGAAGATGGTCGGCGTCTTGGGCAGCAAAGGTAGTTGTGTAGAAATTACTAGCATTCACTTTGATCACGGCCAGAGCCAAAGAAGGGGAGGTTAGACGTATGCTCTTGTTTGAAAAATTCGTCTGAAAGCCGATGCCATCCACTACTTTTAGCAATCTGTAAAGACAGGTGAGACAGGTGGCAGTTCACATACAGCTCTTCAAGCTGTCTTTCCCATTCTGAGCAGAACATAGAAGAGCAACTTGAGAAGACAGTATGAACCTTAGACATGGAAGAGAAACACTTAACTACAACTCATCAGGTAAGAAATAGTCCTGTCACTGAAAAGACCAACTATGACCATATCCCATTGCTTAGTCATACCTTTGAGCCACTGGGGCCAACAAGGCAGGTGGGGAACGAAGGAGTCTGCTGACTTGGTTTATCATAGCTTCTGCAAAGTCAGGCTCCAAGCTGCCCACGGACAGAGCCTGCTCCATCCTGGACACTTCGTCCTCAAGATTCCACCAAACCCTGATGGTGCTGCTGTGAACAACGTCTATGACAGAGAGCCAAGTCACTTTAGAGACACATGAAAAAAATCACCAATAAACAGATTCTGTGGGCTGGCAGTCCCACTCCTGAATATTTGCCCCAGAGAAATGAAAACAAGCCCCAAGAGGACTTTTCATAAATGTTTAGAGTGACCTTTTACACAACGGTCTCAGCCTGGCAACAATCCAAATGTCCATCAACTGGAGAATGGATAAACTGTAGTCAGTTCACATGATAGACTATTATATTCAGTAATAAAGAAATCAGCTACTAACACATCACCAGTATGGATCACCCATTTGCCAACAGATTATGTTATATAAAATAAGCCATACTCAAAAGCCATACTCTATAATTCTCTTCATACGACATGCTAGAAAAATTTAAACTCTAAGGAAATTAAACATATCAACATGGCCAGGGTCTGGGTGCAATGGGTCAGACTGACTACAAAGGAGCACCAGGAGCTTTGGGATAAGTGGAAGTGTTATGTATTGTAATGGGGGATTATCCAACCTCATAGAACTAAAATTGTATTCATCCATTAGGAACAGGAGAAAGTATACTTTGTGTAATTGTACTTCAAGAAACTATAGACCGAACATGATTGCCACTCAATTCCTCTTTTGCAAAACACAAAACCCAAAAGGAGAGAGAGAACAAAATGGAGTGCCCTGCCACAGAGGCAGGGTGTGATGGGGGGTGGGAGGTGGGAGGGATACTGGGATTAGTGGTGGTGGAGAATGGGCACTGGTGGAGGGATGGGTACTCAATCATTGTATAACTGAAACCCAAGCACAAAAATTTGTAAGTCTACAACTGTAAAAAAATAAATAAATAAAAGAAAGTTTTTAGGAGAAAAAAAAAGAAACCTAGCTCTAAAAACATGGAAAAAGTACATCAAAGTATTTAGTCTAGATTCATATCAGCACAAATAAGCTTGTGTTTCATTTTACACCACATATCACACACAGGTTTTTATATAGGTAACTAGAAGCTCTTTATGGGGGAAAAAGAATATCACTATGAAGTGATGCTGGACTACCAGCTGTGAGCTTGGTGTTTAAGGGTTTTTAATTTGGGGGACAATGATATAAAGCAGCCTAACAAGAATGTCTCTAAATCCAGCCCCTAACATCCAACTTCTTCCTTGGCACATTTCCGTAAAGTCTTTATCCTTGTGTTGCAAAAGACTGCTATAAAACACCTTGTGTGTCTATTGCTGGGTTATTTTCACTCCACTTTAGGCTATAAACAGGCCCTGAGGCACTGTCTGGCTCTTCCTGTGGCTCTGCTGTGGCTTACTCATTGTGTTCTGGAGGTGGATTTCATCACTCCTCCCTGGGGAAACCGTTATGGTCCACCTGCTTTTTAGCCCTCAGGTAATATTCCAACACATCTTTTATGCATACATCACTTGGCTTCTGTTTTCTGCTCAACTGAAATCCAAGTGCTAGGAGCAGAAGCACAGATGCAGGAGCATCTCCCCTCCCATGCCCTGTCACTGTAGCCTGTGAAGTTAACCCTAATGGTCAATGGGAAGAGCTTCAGAGAGTTGATTTCTTAGCCAGGGCTAAGAAACTTCAGAACTATTCTATTCTTCACAGGCCATTGGACTGTCTCTTGACTAGAGCCCCAATAATTTGTTAATTTGGCCTAAACTGTAGGCTGAAAAGCAGCTAAGAGAGAGCAATGTAAATTCTAGGAACTACAGAGTCCTTTGGTAGACGTTTCCGTCCTCCTAGGGAGGCTGTTACTGTGGCAGAGATGGCCATCTTGAATTCCCATGAGTCTCCAAGGGCTTAGCTTTGCCTCCTCTACAAGTTCTTGGGGAAACCCTAATTTTGATAAGACAAGATCTCTGTTTTCTACCCTCTTGGTGGAAAGTCAGTGATGAACGCCTGACAGAGAGATCTGGAAATCAAGCAGATATTACAGGAAGGTAGGCCCACGGTGGTCTGGTTACAGAGGTCCAGATTTGGTAGGCTGGCAGCTGCACTTCCGGCAGCCAAGATCGCAACGGACAGACCAGCAGGTGGCTCCTCATTACCTTTCTTGTCAGATGACACACTGGGCCTGATGACCTTCACCGGGGCAGAGACGGTGGGAGAAGGAAGTGAGGATTTCACAGGTGGCAGTGTATGGAGAAGAGCAGACTGGGGCATAGGAGAAGAGAAACTTCCAGATTGTGGGGGCACATCAACGACAGGGCTGGAAGCTATGGACGCGGAAGGCTGCGGAGAAAGTGGGTAAATGTCCCCACTGGGAGAGGTAGAGCTCTGGGTTCTAGGTGGAGGATCTATAGAATGGATCAAAGAGAAGGCACTGGTGATCTGGGAAGACACTGTGGCCTGAAGAACCTCTGGGCTGGAATCCCGGGATGAAGAAAACGGTGGGCCATGTAGAGGACCGGCAGGACAGGTAACAGGCTCCTGCATGTCACTAAAGGAAAGAATCAGAGAGGCACAGTGAGACATGACTGAGCTACAGAGAGGCCCCTGTCCAACCCTGGCAATTATCTGACCCTGCCACAGTGCCGAGGTTCCATCAGGGTCCTGCCTCTCCCAAGACCCCACCATTATACTCTGTACACCTACCACCCCCTTCCCCCCCCCCCCCCACCACCTGGTACAGGAAGTGGCCAGGGGAGATGCTGAGCAGGCCTTTACCCACTCGGCGGCACTGAGGCTTCGGCCTTTGTTACTTGCGTGTGCTTCTGGGGGAGGGAAGAGTTTAATGCCCTGTTATTCAATTGGTGGTCTTTATGGACTAAGTGTCTGACTTTCTTGTTTCTTTTTAGGTCGGATGAGATCTAGTCGCAAAGAAGTGGGATTGCATTCCCCAATTGTGCCATGTTTTAAAGTGTTCTAAAAGCAGGCTGGGAAGGGCCAGGGAGATAGTAACCCAAGAGGCATTGTGCTAGTTTCATGTCCAGCACCACATGGTTCACAGTGCATTGCTGGGTGGGGCTCTGGTGGCCCTAGCATCACCAGGCCCAAGTGGAACACATCCTCCGGTTGTACACTGAGCTGCAAGCCAGATTGGCAAAGAATCACTGGAGGTGTGTCCCTAGGAACCCTTCCAAACTCGAATGGGAGACCACTCCCCCCAAAAGAAGTAGGTCAGGTATTTAGCTTAAAGGGCTAGTGCACCTGCTTTGTGTGTTGGAGGCCTGGGTTCAATCTTGGCACTGCATGGTACCCTGAGCACTGAGCTAGGAATAGCCTCTGAGCAACACTGGTATGTAGCCCAAAGACCCCCTCTCAAATTTATAAAAAACTGAAAACAACACTAGAAGGTTCTTTCCCTTTAACTATTCAAGTTTATATTGATAGACCGATGCCATGCCACTATTATTTGGAGAAAAAGGTCATCACACTCATTAATGTTCAGGATTTATTCCTATATCTGTGCTCAGGGGTTTCTTATGGCAGTGCTCAGGGAACCACATGCAGTTCTGGATATTGAACCAGGGTTGGTTGCATGCAAGGCAAGTGCCTTACCTTCTGTACTCTTTTTCCACCCCCTATAGAGATTTGACTTTGAAGCTAAGGCATGTCTATTTTGATATACTGTCTGTCCAGAAGGTAAGGTAAAGGTAAAGGCCCTCCCGTTGATCGTCGATTTGCTCGAGCGGGCCCAGTAACGTCTCCATTGGAGACTTTGTTGTTACTGTGTCTGGCATATCGAATACTCTCGGTAGCTTGCCGGGCTCTCCGAGAGGGGCGGAGGAATCGAACTCGGGTCGGCCATGTTGGCCGCTTGTAAGGCGAGCGCCCTACCCGCTGTGCTATCGCTCCAAGAAGTGTGCTAATACATGCATTGACAAATATTAACACTGGTTTCACAAGGGTATAGAAAATAATTGAAGAGTAACTCTAAATTAAACAACAGTAATATACACTTTGTGTACATGAAAAACATTCAGTCTTCATTTTTTTCTTTTTGGGTCACACCTAGCGATGCTCAGGAGTTCAGGAATTACTCCTGAACTTGGTGCTTGGGGGACCATATGGGATGCTGGGGATCGAACCTAGGTCGGCCACATGCAAAGCAAACACCTTACCCTCTGTACTATCACTCCGGCCCAAAAACATTCAGTCTTAATAAGCAAATAGAGATAACTCCCAGGGCTGGAGTATGAGTGCAGGTTTTGCATGCTGGAGGCCCAGGTTTGGGCCCTGAACAGTGCCCAGAGTGACCTCTGAGCACAGAGCCCAGAATGGCCTCCAGCACCTCTGGGTACGGCCTTTAGACTAAAAATAAAATCAATCAAACAATGAGATGCCAATCAGCACTGAGATACCATTTCTAATCCACCACTCTGATAACACGTTGATTCGGGGCTCTGGGGAGATCACACACCAGCACTGAGTTCTATCTCAGCTTGGCTGGTGATATTTTTTTTTTATTCTGTGTTTTCTTTTCTTTTCTTTTTTCTTTTTGGGCTGGAGCAATAGCACAGCGGGTAGGGTGTTTGCCTTGCTCATAGTCAGGTTGGCCGACCCAGGTTCAATTCCTCTGCCCCTCTTGGAGAGCCTAGCAAGCTACCTGCACGGCAAAGCCTAGCAAGCTACCCGCAATGTATTCGATATGCCAAACACAGTAACAAGTGTCACAATGGAGACGTTACTGGGCCTGCTCGAGCAAATCGATGAACAACGGGAGGACAGTGGCAGTGACAGTTGCTTTTGGGGTCAGACCCAGCAATGCTCAGTCTTGGCTTGCTTGGGGGACCATGTGGGATGCCTGGGATTGAACCTGGCAGATGATCCGGGCCCTCCCCAAGTGATTTCAATGGACAACTAGGCAGGGAATTTTCTTCCCACAATAGAACAGAGCAGTTTTCTGGAAAACAGAAAACCTTTCATTGTCAGCACTGCAGATCTCTGAAGCCTGCACGCTGATTTGCTGTCGCTGTCTTTACTGTGGTTATTAGTGTGGGGACAGCCAGCAGGCTTGCTACGTACCACTGCAGCTTTTCTAACTCCTCCGGTGAGGAAGGACAGGCTGTCTCGATCACACAGCAGCACTGGTCTGGAGGGCCAACGGGAGCAGAGGAGACAGAGTTAGGAAAGACACAAAGTAGAGGCCAAGCCCTCTGGCATCGGGTTTTTTCCACTAACTGCATTTTTTTTCTTTTTGGGTCATACCTGGAGATGCACAGGGGTTACTCCTGGCTCTGAACTCAGGAGTTACTCCTGGTGGTGCTCAGGGGACCATATGGGATGCTGGGAATCGAACCCGGATCGGCCACATGCAAGGCAAATGCCCTAGTTGCTGTGCTATCTCTCCAGCCCCTCCGCTAACTGCATTTTAAAGTGTATTTGTCAGTGATGAACTACTATCTGCATAAAACTCAGCTATCAGTAACTTGGTAAATGACAGGTTCTTGAATTTAAATTAAAAAATAAATAAGGGGCATTTGTCTTAAACAGGCAAGAACACTGATGGAACAATCCACATAGCACGCCTTTCCCCGGAAAGGGTTTGCTTCTTCATGCCTTCAAATACAGTATACTGAAACATGAGTGAGAAAGCAGAAAAAATCACCATTAGAGCATGGTGAACGCTGCTTAAGGACTACAGTAAAAACAGAAACATGTAACAGTCCGTAAACACGTTAACAATAGTCTCTATTTGAAAAGGAACACCTCAAAGTGCTGTAGAGATTAACAAAGCTGTACTGTAGTGAGAGAGGCGACTTACCCATTGGTCGAATCATTACCCCTTTCAAAGCAACTACGGCCGCACATATGTTCACTGTCTTGTTCAGTTTTATTGTGAATGTACAATTTAATGTGCTGTAAATAGAAAAAAATATAACCAGGTTGTACTGAGTTGGAAACATACCTACGTGTTTGTCATTGCTTTTGCTGTGTGTGTGTGTGTGTGTGTGTGTGTGTGTGTGTATCTTGGAGAAAGGAATTGTTTTATTTGTGGTGGATGGGATCAAACTCAGGACTTGCATGCAATGCATGTGCTCAATCTCTAAGTCCCATTTCCATTCCCCAGAATTGAATTTTTCAAACTTAGAATGAGGAATGGGTATACTGACACTGTTCACAGTAATATTACTCCAGTAAACTTATAAACACCCATTTGCCATGGTCTGAACTTGACCCAAAGCACTGGATAAGCTGATTGAGATTTTATATTCACTGAGGTTGCAAACCAGTGACCCTCTGACCATACAAAGCTACCAAAGAGTTTGGCCTGCCCACATAATGAAGAGACAGGAGTAGAACTTGATTGTAAAGATGGACATCTTGACTCCAGAGTCTGACCCCAGACTTTGAGTTTCCATCATTGGAACCCTTTTCACCAGCGTACATGGGCATCAATGTCTCCTCCATCCAAATATCTCTGGCAATTCATTCCCAGTTATCAGATAAATAGAAATTGAAGACATTCTCTCTGTCTCTCTCTTCTTCCCTCCCTCTTAGTCTTAGTTTATGTGAAAAAAATATTAATGTCACAAGTAATGAAAAGAAGCAAGTGAAATGAACTAGATAGATAAGGATTCCATCTACAGATTTATGGAATACTTTTCCCTTTTTTGGTATCAATGAATAGTTTGATGATTCCATCAATCATTTTTGGGCCAGGTCAATGGTTTAGTAGGTGAGCACATGCTTAGCATGCACCAAGGCCCAAGCTTTGGCCCTGGCACCACATGCTGCCTCCCCGCCTCATGCTTTTGGAGTGACCCTAGTGGTCTCCAGCCCTGCTAGGCCAAAGCAACACTATGGCCACAACACTATGGCACTGAGCAGGTCAGTAGGTGGGTCAGTTATTACCTGGAGTCACCCCCAAGCCCCCTAAGAACTGCTTGAGAAATCCCCATTAAGAAACTGTTAGTTTCTGGGACTACACTGTCATGGAATTTCAGGGTCCCTATAGTAAAATTATTGCTCTGTTCATTGAGCTAGGGAAGCCAATGAATAAACAGAATTGAAAAGGGGCTATTTCTGATTCACACTGCATGCACTTCAGTGGACATTTGTATATATCCTTTGCTCTTTTGTTCCAATCTTTTCCTTTTCTCAAGCTTCATACTAGACACCTTATTCAACCCTGGTGACCACTCTGAGCCACGTTGGTGGCTCAAGGGGCTAAGGACATTGGTGATCCTTAGTCTCTCAAAACCAGAAGACTAGCACCACCCACCGTTTGGTGCTTCATTTGGAAAAAAAAGACAGGTGTAACAGAGTGAATGGTGAGTGAAGGGAAAAAACATTCATTAATAAAAGTTTTATGCCATACCTAGTAGTGGCTCAGAGATCATTCATAGTGGTACTGGGAGACTGGAAAAAATGTTAAAAAGTATAACCAAAATGTCATTTGTACATATTTTTAGTGGAATGCCTTTGAATTTGTAACCTAAGATTCCTTCACATGTATTTCTCATGAGCAAAGAAATGATATTTATTAAACTTTTTAAAGTGACTGACCTTTGAGCCTCTGCTGTAGCACACATTATAAAATAAGTCTGAAACCAAAAAAGAATGTTACTATGACAGTTGAAAATGTCAGAACAAGACATCTCAAGGTTAATTCCAGCATCACAAAATCTTAGGGAGCAGGCAGTTCACATTCCTACCAGATCCCTGGCATATCGAGAAAGCAATCAGGCAATAACAGCTCTGCTTGGAAACCTCCAGAACCAGGAGGCTCACTGCTACACATGGCAGCTCATTTTTCCCGAGCTTTCATTTTAATAAACTTCTAGGTGTTACACAAAAGCAAATCTACCTTTTTTTATTGTTCAGCCATTATACCTAACTCTGCACACACCAGTAATGCAATTTTAAAATTCGCATTTGGGAGAATCTCTACACACAACACAATCATATCGAATTCCATGGCTCCATGCCCCAATAATATCAATAATTATAAACAAAATACATGGTGTACTATGGTTACCTCACTCAGTGTTTGCAGAGTTTTGTTGAGCTCTGACCGCCTGTTAATAAAAAAAAAATGAGAGCAAGTGATATGGAGGCCATCAGTGATGTCAAAATCCAACCAAGTTCATTATGTGGCAATGGTATCAAGCAAATGTCATTTCTTGCTTGTAGTGTTCTCTTAGAAGCAACACGGGGAATAATAAATGACGAGGGAATTATTTACAAAAGAGAAATGAACCAGACACAAGTTACATTCAGTTCTAGGCAATAGGAAGATGTACATTATGGGTAAACAATCTGATTCTTCTTTAGGCTATTGCCAGCCCAGGCACCTTCTTCTGTTAATGAGCCAGAGGAAGAGCCCCAGGCAAAATTTCTAATAGGTGCCAGTCACTGCAGGTGGGAGCCTGTGGGGGGACTTGGCCCCTTTCCCACTGACCTAGTCTGTCCTCTAGCATGCCTAGTCCTGCCTGACTCTCTGCACAAGTCCTCTTTAGGTAGCCCCTTCACTGCTACCCCCCACTCCAATCCCACACCCACTCCAACAATACTTATATTTTCCCCATGTGACAGAGCTTCAAAATTGGGGTAAAAGGAATCTAGTTGTAAAATTCACTCTAAGAGGAAAATATGTACCGAAAACGCGCAATTGTGTATTTTAAATAGGATAATTGTACTTGTATTTTTATCTCAAGATCTCAATGAAACTTTTAAAGCTTAATTCACTCGAAGAGGCTGGAGCCAGAAGACAGCAGGGAGGGCGATTGTTTTGTATGTAGCCGACCCAGGTTTGATCCCCGGCATTCCATATTGTCCCTTGGGCACTGCCAGGAAGAATTCCTGAGTGTAGGAATTCCTGAGTGTAGTAATTATCCTCAGGGATAACCAGAGTTATCCCTGAGCACTGCTGGATGTGGCCCAAAGGTCTAAAAAAAATCTGGTTTTCCACTGGGGTGGGGATGAGTCGGGGTGGAGGGAGGTTTGTTTTCATGGGATATGTGGTAAAATCAGAGACATTTTTGATAGTCTCCCTTGCTACCCTATAATGCATGGGACAGCACCCTAGAACTAATACCCTCAGGCCCAAAACGTGCAGAGCACTGAGGCTGAGAAAGCCCATACAGAGGAAAGGGCTCGGGGAAGGAAGGTCAGCAGAAAGCAGAGGATGGTGGCAGTGGTGGTCAGCAATGAGGGGCCATCTCTCCACACTGTGCTCTGAAGCCACCTCCTTTCTGAAGGGTTCTCTGACCTCTCCATCAGGCCTAACACCCCCTTGATCTCTATTCAGATATTAAGCACATTGTACATCACCTTCACTAGAGGGACTGGACTATGTTGCTATCATTTGTGTCTTGTTTTTTTCCTGCTTGACTCCTGGTTCTCAGAACTGGACTCTCCCAGGGAGCATTTGGAAATGCCAACGCCCCCCTCCCAGTCCCAATAGTGAGCCTGGGTGTGAGAACCTTTAAAAATCTCCCAGGTGACTTTACCATGCAGCCAGGGTTGAGAACCACTGCTCCAGTCAGAGTTGGGGTTCTCCTCATTTGTACCTCAAACTCCAGCACATAGTCAATACTCAAAAACTGCTCAGTGGCCTTATTTTTATTTTGGTTTAGGGGCCACATCCAGTGATGCTCAGGAGTTGCTCGTGATGGTGTTTGGGGCACCATGCAATTCTGGAGGTTGAATCCAAATGCAAAGAATGTGCTCCAGCCCTCTGAGCTGACTTCCAGCACTGCTGGATAACTTTTAAAAGCTTATCTATATTTCAGGTCTAATAATTTCAGGGAATTACCTAAGCATGCTAAGTTATATTCCAGTTATAGACTTGTGTGTGAAAATGTATTTTGCTATCACTATTATCGCCCACCTGGAGGTTAAAATCCCTTAGGACATGTGTACCTTCTGCTTCTCCCCCCACAAACATACACTAGCTTTTCATCAGAATATCAAAAACTAAGCATAAAGAACAGGACCAACACTCACCCCATGGCCCTTCATTCTCCCAAGTTAACTCTTTGCTGCCAGAAACCCCGTAGGGCCCTAGGGATTCCCACCAGGTAAAATGGTGCCATCCACCCAAATATCAGAAGCACTCAAAGCAGAAGATTAACTTGAAAGGATAACCCTGAGGAAGAGTTTCCGTTTTTGTTTTGTTTTGACCTAGTTTTTTTTTCCTCTTCCAAGTCATCACAGATACCTCCTTAGGCTTTGGCATTTCCTTCAGAAGTTCACAAAGGGCAGCAGCAATTTGAGAGTAGATGACTTTCTTCTTTAATACTGTTTCCCTGCCACCAGGACAAAGCCTTGTCGATTCCAACCAGGATAATGTGTTCTCACAGTCGAGGACAATCTGCTGGCCACTGTTTTGATCTCTGGTCTAACTGGTGGCATGTGCTTGTAATACATGTCTTGTCTGAGCGTGTCTTCTAAGCTGAGATCTACATAACAAAAACTTCTTTCTGACTTTTGAATCACGGATGTATCATGAAAACACGAACACGTGAGTTACCTGGAGTCCTACCTTGAACTTGTGCTTCCCCAAATCAGATTAGAATACAAATATTGATTCTAATGGGGGTACTTCCTTAATTTTGTAGCATCTAAGAGAGTAGCCTCATGGGGACATCAGTCAGTGATAGATGACTATGGCTACTTTGTAGAAAACTCAAAGATTATACACTCTCTAATAACCTTCTGATCTCTCCTTATCCTTTACTTCGTCTCCAACACCAGAGATAGATAGTAAGCAACTTTCATAGTAGACATCTTTAGCTTCAAATCAAACAGCAGATTACTTACTTCGATTCTCTTAGAGACAGGACTCCTGTTGCTAAGGTGCCATTAGCCGTATTTTGATTCTGTTAAAAGCACAAAGTTATGAAGAATACAATAGATACTGTTTTGATTTTTGATATTCTCTAGCAAAAATTGTTTTATTTGGTACCCAAAGAGCTAAGCTTCAAAGACTAAGAATCTTAACTGCATGGAATACTGTCTAGCACCTAATCAAACCCATACTGATTGAGTCCATTTTTTTTTTTTGAGGAAGTAGGTTTGAGTCACACCCAGTGGTGCTCAGCGCTTACTCTTGGCTCTGTGCTTCTTTCTAGTGGAGTTTGGGGGATTCCAGGTGGTGCTGTGGTTGCACTGGGGATGGTAGCATGCAAGGCCTTATCCCCGCACTAACTCTGGCCCTTTATGTTTCCTTTCATAAGTATTCAGAACCTGGCCAGAGAGACAGTATAATAGATAAGGCTCTTGCCTTGCACACAGCTGACCCTGGTTCAATCCCTGGCACTGTCTATGGTCGCCCCCAGCCTTGCCAGGAGTGATTTCTGAGCTCAGAATTAGGAGTAGGCCCTGAGCATAGCCGAATGTGGCCCCCAAACAACCAAACAAAAAATGATTTGGAATTAACATGGTGGTGAGGCTTATATACATATCACAGTGTGAAACTGTACTCTAAAGAACTGATACAATAAAATACAGCTTTAAAATGTTGAGTCAGCAAGTCTGATGCACTTTCATTTATCCTTTCATCATTTCCAGGGTTCCTCCAAAAGAACATTATTGAAGTTCTCTATATGGAAGTGCCAGCTCTCAATATCAAAAGGGAAGCTTAAGAGCAGCCATTACCGCATTTCTGGCAATCAGCTCTGTGTATGGCACACAACAGGGGCCCAGGAAAATAGTTGCTGAATGAACAAACCATATTTTACTGGGATCATCTGAGATGATCTGGATTTGGGAAAGTCTTGTACAACTGTACCCAAATTCTCTATGGGGTAAATAGGATCAGGCTCAGAGAACGAATTCTTAGAGTAGATATATTATAATTCTTTTTTTTTGCTGCAAGGAGTTTCTAATATAATTTTATTTTTGACTAATAATAGAATTGCATCCCATTAACATTTCTTTTCATTTCTTCCCTGAATGTCAGGGATAGAACTCGGGTCCTCACACAATGGGAGCAGAAGCTCAATCACTGAGCTCTGCCCCCAACCCTCATATTAACGTTCATACTCAGCAGCAACCTTGGTGAAAATGAATGTTATTAACAAAACACCATAGTCATTACAAAGTCAACCCTTCTCGACAAAGCTACAATTCAACACAGATCTATTTAAACTTGGTCATTAAAGTAAGTATGCCAAATACCCTAAATAATCAAACCCTTCATTTTAAGCAATACATGCGAATTCAGTTTTTATGATTCAATAAGAAAACATCTCTGAAACCTACCTGGGTAACATTGCTTTCTTCATCATACTGAAACATGATCTCACCTCTATAAAACACTAAAAACAAATTTTCAAAAACAAAATTTGAGATCTGTATCCTTAGAGCTCGAAGATTAACACAACACAGAAAAAGATTAGAAAGTGCATTTTATTCCATTCATAAAAGTGCATCTCATCAAATTTTATCATTATTCATATTTTATCAAAAAGATAATGGTTATCCATAGAATTTTCAGAAAATCTGAATTTTATGTAGGAATTCAAAAAGAAAACGTGTCCCTCTCTCAAGAAACATTATCCCTGCATGCTTCTCATCTAACCTTGTATCCCTTTAAAATGCTAAATGGCTAACTAGGGCTCTTACTCATAATACTGAAAAACAAAAACAAAAAGAAAAAAATAAACTTTCAATTACACAGAAGGGAGGAAGAGAGTAAATGACTCTCAGCAGTTTAGCAGCCTTATGGAAGGCCATCTCTACTTTGCCAGGGGGTTGCCTTTTTCTTTTCAATATACAGCTACCAAATGCAATCTCTGTGCTAGGAAGAAAGTTCAGACTTTGCTGAATAGTGTATAGGGAAAATCCTTTCTTCATTTGAACAGCCCTCTGTAGCTTTCATTCCAGAAAAGCTGGGGGAAACTACTCTGAAAATTCTCACTTTACTAAATATTAAACTCATTTCAGTCACTGGTTTCATGTAGTGCACATACTTGGAGGGACTTTGACTCTACCTGGAAACAAATAAAACAGACACTTTAACAGAAGCACACTGTGTGCATTTAATTTTTAGACAAAACCTGACCTCTTGAGCAGGACAAGGATGTTATATAAACTAGAGCAAGGATCAGTCAATTTGGGGGGTCAAAAGTCAGACAGTAACTATTGAGGCTTTGTGGGCTATAAAATCTCTGTTGAAATGATTGGACTTAGAGGTTGGGGTGCAAAAGCAACCGTAGACACTACGTAAATGAATGGCATGGCTGTGTCCCAATAAAACTTTATTTTCAACAATTATATTTGGATTATGAGCAGCATTTGCCAACTCCTGAGCTAATGGCTGAAGGACTCTTCACTACACCTTCTCACACTGTACTAGTAAAAAACTGATTCCAAATGTCAGGTACCCCAAATCCAGTTCCACTTAAAAGTGGCTAACTAAGCCACTAGATTGAGCAGCATGACCCATTTCAGCCATTTTTCGGCTGAGAAGAACTTATGCACAGTAATACTAAAACTTAGTACTAATCATCAGGTGTACTCCATCCTGGGGGTGCAGCACACCCCTCTACTCTGGGTGTGCAACTTCTCCCCATTCCTCTCTACTGAACTCCATTTTGGGGATTGCTCACATCCCAATTTGAGGTATTCCTTTACCATACCCTTTCCCTTTCCTTTCTTGGAATACCTGGTAGAACACAGTGATAACTTTCAGCTCTGCATTTAAGAGTCACATCTGGTAGTGGTCGAGGGACCAAACAATGCCTTAATCCCAGTGTCATCTCCTACACCCAATTCCTTTCCTTCTCCATGTTTCTCTCTTCTCCCTCTCACCTATTTCCTACTAAAACTATTTGGCTTCACAAAATTTACAGAAGTATTCAAAGAAAAGGCATTTGATAACTGCAGTAACTGATCCATATTTAAAAAAATTTTTTAACTTTAAAAATGTATTTACTGCATGCACGCATGTGTGCATGTGTTCTTCTCAACACCCGGTTTTGCTCCCTCACCCCTCCATTCTCCAAGTTCAGTCTTCAGTTCTGTTGAGCCCATACTGAGTCTGAGTTACACAGTGGAAACTGCCACTTCTGACCCTAATCCTGCCTCTTCCTAGTCTGCTCCCAGCTTCTTCACTGGCCTCCATTTCCTTTAATGAACTCAGATTGGAACCTGTAAGAAGCGAAGGTTTCTAGTTTCTGGCAGGAGATTGTGGAATTTCTGGTGCCAAACGAGTTGGTCCTCTGATGAGGTTGTTTTCACCAGACACTAAAACAAATGGTCAATTCAGCCACTTAGTTGGGGAAAACATTACTCCAACCAGCTTCCTGGCATCTGTTATTCAAGATGACCAGTTTTTTTGACTAAATGTTCAATTTTCAAACAGTTATCAAACATCATGTAGACACAACACTAAACTAGACGTTAGTCACCAGTCTAAAACATAGATGAAGCACAAAAATAATGGAACGATGGAGAATTCAGTAAAGAGAACAGCAAGAGAGGAGAAAGGAAGAAAGAAAAGTGATATACATTATTGGAAAAAGAAATGTCTCTAGCAAGAGTCTCTTTTCTTTCATCAAAACCAGCTAATATTTCTTTGTATGTTCAACCTGAAGCCTAATATCAGCAGAAAACTTAAGTTGAGCAAACATCATATGCACACATAGAAAGTGTGGCATTGCTTTACCAGAAAATCTTCTAAACTATCCTACCCGAACTTATTTTACTAAAATTTGTACCTATGTCTTCCAAATAAATTATTTATATGTTAGAAGAAACAGAACAAAAGGAAAAATGTCCCTCTAATTATATTAATAGAGTTTCATATTAATAGAACAAACACTTGAATATTATCAAATATCCTGTTCCCTTCCTTCTTTCCCCTGCCCTCTCTTGCAAAGTTCTGACCTGCTACACCATATTTTTCTGTTTTTCACATGTACTTTTCTTGGTTTTAATAAGGAAGGGAGCCCAGACAGCCAAAGCAATGTGAGAAAAGTCGGTGTTTCATTCCTTCTGGCCCCTGGGAGAAGGGAAAATATTCCCATTTCAAAAATAGCATGTTCGCAAGAGATTTCCACCTCAATTAAAAAAAATAGTAGCCAGTCTTCATAGGCAAAATACTCTATGTGCGCTCTACTGGAATTAGCATCCATTTAAACAAGATTTTCACATTCTAGTGAAGACATTTGTTGTATTTTTAACAAGACAACATCCTGTCCCTAAGCTATAATACTTAGAGTCTTATGAAAAAGCTTGAGGGATTTGTATATAAGAAGTGGCTTTCAACAATGATTAAGTTCATTATTACATTCATGGATCAACTTGAAGAGTATTAGTTATGGATTTAATGTTAGAGTGAAAAATAATTTGGTGTAGAGCTTCAATATTTTCATATTAAAGAAGTTAATCCATCGCCTCAATAGGAAATTAGAAGATAATTCTGCTGGATCTAAAATTTGCTTTTGTTTTCATTCAAGGTGCTTAGCAGCTAGGTAAAAGAAACAGATCAGAGGCATGCATCACTCAGTAAGCGAAAAAGAGACCATTTTTCTCTATTACCGGATCTAACTGATCCAGTAATATGTAATGGACACAAGAACTAACCTGAGTCATTGCAAGTAGACGACAAATTACAGATTCTTCTCTGGGGTTTGACTCCTGAAAAGAAAAAATCAACCCAGCTGGTTAAGCATGGTAATGTCTGTACTTGTATGCTACATTGTCAAGAGAATTCTCAGATTTAGGCATAAAACTAAGAAAGTACCCAAAACATTGCAAATCTGGTAAAATTGACTGGATAAATCCCATAGAGACTGGAGGGAAGAGAGAGTTTTCACTTCTTAGTCAGCTATGGAACTTGATTCCTTACTACTCTTTAGTCTGTCAGTGAATCCCCAAGCCCTCCCTACTCTTTCTTCAGTCCATTCCCAATCAATCTCTCTTCTGTCCAACATAAATAAAACAGCATGAATACAAACTGAGCATAGAGACTGTAACTGAAATTGCCCTGACTCATAAATCTTCCTTCCTTTCCAGGGTGGGGTAGTCCATGAACACTCTAAATCTGGTCCTGCTTCTTTCTGCAAGTATATATAAGAAATAACATTCATGTCATCCTATCATTTCATGTGAGCAAAACTACAAAATTCAAACATGGATTTGCTAGACACCTGATATTTTCTACAGGTGGGGGAGGGTCCAGGTACAGACCCTGCCCTCCATGAGCTTACGGTCTAGTGGCGGGTTGTCTTCAGTCATAAAAAAAGCACAGTGAGGGCAAGATGGAATGGTGACTAAGACAACAGACCACACAGAAGTCAGAGACAAATGGGGAATGAAATAAGCCACATTAGAGCAAAGGAATTCGTACAAGTTACCCCGAGAAACATCTGTTCCTGTGGTAAAAGAAGTGCATTTCTCGATTGATTTGAAAACATCCCAGTGTCTTTCCCTCCATTATTATATCTTTTTGGTGATGTATAAAAAAGTTATAGTAAATGTGGGGAAAAGTGTTGATAATAATTTCCCAGGTGCAAAGATTGTCATATTAAAGAATTTTGGGGTCTCTTTGTTAAGTCTGGCTTGGTGAGAACTTTGCCTCTAACTCTTGATTGCGATGTCCATTGCACCTTCTGAATGCTTAATCTGTCACTAAGAGAAGTAGTTTGGACACAAATCAAGCTTGTAATTTGAGTTGAGCACGTGCTGTGGTTTCTGCCAGAATGACATAACTGATGTATGACCACCAGTGAAGAGTTTTGACTCTGTGAGAGAACTGAATTTAGATGTCAAAAGTTATAAGCAGATTTCTATACTGTCCCATAGCAATGCTGACCACACGAAAAGAGAATTTCGTTTGAAATGTATTTACTTCTGGATAAAACTCATAAGAAATATAACACTTACAACTACTATAGTGTATGTTTATGTGTATAGTAATGGTTTAAAAGTTCTTTACAACCATTGGACAGTTGCTCAACTAAGATTTTCATCTCTCATATTTACGTTTTAGCAGCACCTTAATTTCCAGTGTCGTATATGTTCTGCTGCTAATTCACTCTTAAGAATTTTCTTTCCTATTGTTAGAGATGCTCTCCCCATGGGTAATTTCCCCGCATATGTGGCCACAGTTCATCTTTGAAATAATGAGTGAAAAAACTTCTTAAAGGGTCAACTAGGAAATATTTGTGGGTCAGATAGTCTTCAGCACAACTATTCAATTAGACTTTTGGTTGTACTGGAAAAGTAGTCATAGACAATATGTAACCAAATGGGCATAACAGTATTCTGATAAAACTTTTTTGGGCTATATTTGGCCTAAAGGCCGCCATTTTCCAACTCCTGCTTCAAATCAACCAGAAGCAACCTAGTTCTGTTTTGTTCAACATGCCACATGTCTTTAGCTTTGCACTAGGTACTTAAAAGTCGATCCCTTTTTTTTATTTAAAGAGTTTGGGGTTCACTCCTGTAAGATGTTTCCCTTCAGTAATGGTCTCCTGCTGATAAACTCATTAGCATCAGCCCTTTTATCTCCATGTTTCCTACCCATGTCAGAAACATGTGGATGTGCGATCTTTGCCTTCATCTACATGCATGTACTTGTTGATATCTGTTTGCTTTCCTTTTATCTCCCCAAACACTAGAAGTTGCTTGAAGGTGAGGATTGTGTCTGAGCATTATTACCGAGCCCCAAAACTTAGTACAACTTCATGTACCCAGTTTATAATAAGCATCTATTATTAAGAAAAGATTTTATTTCAAAAGGCAAGGGGAAAAAAGAAAGAAAACATAAACACCAGTCATTTGTTAAACTTTACTTTAGTTACAAAAAGAAAAGTCTTGATATATTTGATAAGTCATACCTGATGCATTGAAGGTTTTTACTATAGTGATTTTAGCTTTTTCTGCAAAGAAGCAATTTAAATATTAGAGCAGAATTATTGCTTGTTTTTTTAGAAAAAAAACAATATGCCATGAGTATCATTTTAGTGAAGCGCTAAGAAAATCATACTGTTGACACTTTAAGACATTATTAGTGAACTCAGCATCAGAATGAATAGGCACGTGCCTATTATACAGCATCAGCATAGAGTAGGTCTGGGGGTCAGACGCTCAGGCTTAGACACTGCTACCGCACTTTCCACTGCTTGTGCAATTCTACTTCAGTTTCTATGGGATGCTCCTACACAAATGAATATGAATTTTTCACTTGAACTATTTAGAATTAAGTCATCCTTCTGGTGATAAACTATGAAGAGCATTGCTTCAGAATAAAAAGGAAATAGTAAACATATGTTCTAAGATATGGCTAGTCTATAATCCAAAAGGTGCTATTTCTTTGGTTCTTAATATACTACTATTTCTAATGTATTGATAAATCATTTTGTAAATAAATTATTCTCAGGTTGAGACTCTCTGTCTATAGTCATAGAACAAGCACAGCAGGACACGATTAAAAATCAATGACCCATGGGCAAATATCAACACATTCTGAAAAGCAAACCATATAAATATGTTCCCAACACACTTCGGAGACAACACTCATGGTTCATTTCTCAGATAATGGAAACCAGATTCAGAAATCACTGTTGCAAGGATGGTCAATTAGAAGAGGGTGTGTTCAAGACACAGATTTGTTAAAAAAAAAGTGTATGGGCAACTTCTGGAAAAAAAAAACCCAAGCTCCGATACTGGAGTAGCAATTAGGAATTAACTGTATGATTTATTATCTTCTTATTGTATGGTTCTGTTTCAGTGTGTGACTGACCCATAGTAATTACAGAGGCTGGTAGCATTTTGCATGATCATTATGAATTCTTTAAATATATTGTTTTCCCTGATACTTTCTTTTCCAGGATAAACAAAACACAAGTGTGACATCAATATCTGGATCTCATATGAAGTGTTTGGAGGAAAAATGCTCAAGAATGGGGAATGAAGATGACTATGGTGCTAGAATTGTGCACGTGGGAAACCATCATTAATAGTATTGTAAAGCATAGAAACTCAATTGTCTAATATGCAATATTAGATATTAGTCTCAATATATACTCTAAGGAACTAAGAGAGATTTAACAATATTTGACATAGTCTCAGCTGTCAGAAGGTATAGTGACATAGACATTCTTAGCAAGTGCTGGCAGCAAGGTTGCTGGATCCAACCTTTCTAGAAGGTAATTGAACAGCAGGAATCAGGGGCCTTAAAATATTCATACTGCTGACCCATTAAATCTATTGCGAGAGTGCATCCTATAAAAATCAGGGATGAATACAAAGATGCTGGCACAAGGTGTTCATTGTAACAATTTCTATAAAAATGTAGAAACAACTTTAATGTTCAACATATGGCACCCAATGGAATCATTAATAGTAAGAAATGTTGGGAAATGGTTATATAATATATTTATAATATGATAGATAATATAAAGTCTAAAAGGTCATATAAAATCTATATAAACTATGACTATTTGGGGAAGTAGATATTATATGTATACATGATGCTGAATTGAAATATGCCAAATTATTAACAGCAGTCTTAGGAACATAAGTTTAAAGATTACTTATATATTTTTCTTTTTTCTATACATTGTTTTTTCTGGTTTTGGTGGGGGAGGGAGTTGGGGTGTCTTTTTTTTCTCGAAACGCTTCACTTTCTTTGAGCCAACATTTATTACCATTATGACTTAAAAGTAATAAATTTTATTTAAATGGAATTCCATAGCCATAACAGCTTGGAAGTTTAAGAGTGTGGTGGCACCAGACTTACAGTTCAATGTCAAAGTCAAATAGGTAATAATAGTTGAAGGCACAGCAAGTGGGCACAGAGATAACCTTTACTAAACCCAGCAGACCACACAAGTGAGAAATTCAAGATTCAAGGTCAAGTTATTAGACTTATATATATCTTGATATTACCTGTTTTGTTTAAAGTAGCTAATATGTTTTCAGCAGCAACTGAAATGAGATAGCAAAAATTAGCCTAACTATTCACATAGTTAACAAATACATGTGTCTTCCTAGGTTCTTTAATCACTTCACTTTTCCCCAAATCCCAGAGAAGTTAGCTTTGTAAAAGCCAACTGGCGCTATTAAATGTGTTTACTGCCCACCCCATCACCACGGCCCATTATCTCCAGCCCCCAGAGACAATGCCTGAGCAAGCGTTTATTCATTCAAAATGAGTTTCCCGAACACGAGTTCAAGGAAAGTTTTAGACACATAGCAAACACACAAGTTAAGTGCCTAAAACATAGCAACAGTCCTATCATTAACAGATTTAAACAAAACCATTTATGTTGAATAGTGTGTCCCTTTTTTACTCCTACTATAATAAAAGCCATAAGGGCGATAATGCTTCCACAGTAATAACTATCATAGCCCCGTGCATACTTAGCACACTTTTATGTAGTAGGACACTCTTATAATAAAGCATCTTAATGTAATTCTTGGTAAAATTGGAATTATTCAACATTATATTCAGGTAACTATTATGAAAATTTCGTGTTGATTTAAGTTCTCTTAGAATCCAATTTAAAATTGCCACCTCTGGTATTTCTGTTGTGAAATGCATTCTTGAACTTCTAGCATTCTGGCCAAAACTTTTGGTTTAAAAAAAGGTTATCACAGTTTTTTTTTTAAAAAAAGAAAAAACAAATAAATGGTATTTATAGCCAAGGCTGTTTTGAAAATGCTCTTTTATTGTAAGAAATAATTACACATAAAAACAATAATATTTGGCTCTTTCCATTGGCCCCAGACTTGAAACTGGTTTTGATCAGTCTGAGCTGCATCTATGATCGTTTAGCTCCTTAACCTCCAACTAGATGGTGAGATTTTATTTTTCCTAAGGGACTGTGAAGTGGTGAGTTTTGACTGCAATAAGACCGAAGAGAGAATGTCTCCCCACCACCAGAGGGAGCAGAATGTACTATTCTGCCCAGTCCGCCTTCCTTCCCCAAGATAGCCTTGTTCTTTGCCCTTTTCTCTCAAATAATGAAGCCAACTTTTTCATTTCTTGATGAAATGAAAATATTGATTAGTAAAGCATTCATTAGAAGGCTGTCTTTGAACACTGGACTGCACATCCCATGCCATGTCATAGTGATGCCACTGTACATGCTTCTGACGTCATTGGACATGCTTTTCCCATTTAAACAATTTGACATTTAGAAAGAGCTGGTGTAGTGTGGAAAAGAAGTAAAAGAAGTGTGATCAACTTATCTCACAGAAAAAAGAGGGCTGCATTAGCGGGCTGTTGATAAAAGGAATTTTGTTACTGAGCCAGAAAGCTTAGGTTACTCTTTAGGCTAGGCAGTTTTTTGTTTACTTGCTATTGTTGTTACGGAATTATGGAAGTTTCAGCACCATTAATTGGTACCTATTCATATTAAAGGTTATTAATTGTCATTGACTTAAGAAAAATCCTTACTGGGTGGTAGTTTCAACCTCTTTTGTCCCCAGGGAGAAAAACAGTATAAAATATAATGAAATAAGAAACTTAACAAATTGGGCTAAATCAATGTTTAAATGCTTCTTGCCTGGAATACCACTGGAGTAGGGGACAAAACCAAAAGGTAGTTCAGCTGCAGGAGACAAAAGAAAAAAAAAACACAAGAAATGTTTCTAATTAATTAATTCTCTGAAACAACTATTCATTGACTATCTTGAGATATAATTATGAAAAGAAGTTAAAAACATGTACCAGACCAACATGTGTTAAATCTGCAGGTCCACAATTATTCTGAGTTTACATTTGATCAGAGAATTGCAGAGAGGACTTGGAGAGACAAAATGATTGCAACTGTTTCACAGTACAGATGAAGACCCAGAACTCATGGTCAAAAAGCCTACTACTACCTAGGGAATAGCCTAGAAATAAGTTCAGGAATCACACCAAACTATGACACTTCGTAATTTTTCAGTCTGAGAGTTCTAGAACAAATTTTATACTTCGAAAACTTTGTCCAACTACAATTATGAAATATATTGGCACATTGGCTCCATTCTGCAATAACGGTGCTTGGTAATTCTTCCCACAGTCAATTTAGGATTTAAAAATAACAAGCAAAAATATTGCTACTATTCAATATTATACCGCCTAACACAATTCCTGGGTAAGTCATTTTTTAATATGGATACTAGTAAGGCAACCAAAATCAATCAAGTTATAGATTTCCCATGCAAAAACTCCAGTATGCTAAGAGATCAGTCTACGACACAGATTTTACATGTGTAAGTATTAAGTATTAAAAAGACCCAATAACTCCACTTGCAAGTAAACACAGGGAAAGTAAGCCCAAATGTTTTACAATGAAAGGTGTTTTGTAGAAAGGGGAGAAGGCAGCTGGAATAGAGAAGGGATCACTAAGAAAATAATGGCTGGAAGAACAAGTCGGGATGGGAGTTGTGTGCTGAAAGTAGACCAAACATGATAACCTCTCAGTATCTGCACTGCAAACCATAATGCCCCAAAGTAGAGAGAAAGTATGGGGAATATTGTCTGCCATAGAGGCATGGGGAGAGTGGGAACAGGGGGTATACTGGGGATATTGGTGGTGGGGAATGTGCACTGGTGGAGGAATGGGTGTTTGATCATTGTGTGATTGTAACCCAAACATGAAAGCTTGTAACTATCTCACGGTGATTCAATAAAATAATTTAAAAAAGAATTAATTCACAAATAAAAACAGGAGTTTTGTAGAAGGAGACTTCAAGGCGCTAGGTTAGTCTATCAATTTTAAACCATCCATGCCTTGGCTGAAACACTCATCCTGTCTGTCCTACACAATTGTTTCCACTTTTGTCATCCAGTATTTTTTTTGTTTTAATTACCAATGATACTTCTCTAGAAGTAAGATAGCTTCTGAACAATAAGATTCAAAGCATGGATTCGGAATCTTTTGCTCTTGGAGCAAAACTGCGTGGCCAAGGTGGGTTTTAAATTCATGACTCTGATGAATGGCAATGCCATTCAAAGAGGAGGCCTGTGAGTGCTATACAGTCTGTTCCCAGTTTGCTCATCTCCTTGACCCAAGGCTCCCCAGACCCAGGCTAAGACTAGATTTAGGGAGTGCCCCCAAAGCCCCATTTTCCATTCCAAGCAAACAGAATTTCATAAAGACATTACCATGAGTAAGTTCATTCACAGCTATTTACCAGAAAAAAAGGACAAAAACATAATGGCTCACTATGCCCTAGAAGCAAGGTGCAAATTGACACGGTAAAAGACCTCGGATTCTGTAGACGTGTATTCCTGGCTTTAAATCTTTGCACCTCTACTTAGTATGTAATGATATTCATGACTAATTGAGGATCATCTCTCATCATCTTTGTAATTATGCAACAAAGCAGAGTAATTACTAGGGTTATTTTCTGTAATTTACAGATGAAGAAAAGGGGGTGGAGAAAGATGAAGAAACTTGCTCAAAGAGACATGGATAGCAATGGTAATGGTGAAGTTCACGCCAAGTCATCTGACTCCAGACAGTGTATGAACACGAGTAAATTTTATCCTCTCTGACTCTCACTTTCCTCACCTACATAAAAGATTGTACGATCCATATATGCTTCCTGTTGCTGCAGGATTGGGAGCAGAAGAAAATGTCTTAAGACTCTCAGGCAAGACAGCATATGTACGAGAAACAATAGCACTGTAGCACTGTCCTCCCGTTGTTCATCGATTTGCTCAAGCGGGCACCAGTAACGTCTCCATTGTGAGACTTGTTACTGTTTTTGGCATATGAAATATGCCATGGGGAGCTTGCCAGGCCCTGTCGTGGGGGCGGGATACTTGCCGGCCTCTCCAAGAGGGACGGAGGAATCGAACCCGGGTCAGTCATGTGCAAGGCAAATGCCTTACTCACTGTGCTATTGCTCCAGCCCCATGAGAGTGCTACGAGAAACAATAGCTATGATTATCAATCTTCAGTGCATTTAGGATTAATGTAGTTAATAACAGGAGAAGTCCATTTTCACACAAATGAGGATAGAATGTGAGTTGACTCATAGTCTACCAAAAAGTGTTCTGGAATCTATGCGATATCAGAAAGGCTGGAGCAGTAGAAGTCAGAAAGATTTATGTTCTGTCTGTGGTTGATGTTAGTCAAGTTTCTCAGTCACTCAAGAGTTGACTCACTTACTAAGGGACAGGGCTGGGCCACTTTCTCACTGGGGTCCTATTCCACCTAGCAGTTTCTGTTCTGGCCAAGATGGGTCCTGGTTACAAATTCTTTTCAATTTATCTGCCTTTGAAATCTCATGAGCGCAAGGCAGTGAGAGTCTAGTGGAAAATAAACATTCTGTGGGGGTACTGAGAGAAGTTATTTAAGAGGATGTCTCATCTCTTAAATCTAAGATTATTTGGCACATCTGTGCTCCTGCTATTCCTCTGGAGACTTATGAACTAGAACCCTACAGCGAACATTGGAGAGCTGTAGCAGTGATTATAATGAAAAGCCACAATTTACTTACAATAGAGTGTGGGTGGGTCACTCTCCTATGCTCTTTTCCCAGTTTGCTGCTGACTTTTCATGTGTAGGTCTAATAACAGACTTTAATTATGCTTGGGAGTGGGGGGGGGGGGTTACTGCATCTAACTAGATGTCGAATATTATATGCAGAACTTTAAAAAATAGTTTCCTGATATTCCCCAAAGTCAGAAATAACAGTCTTACCAGATGGTGATAACACATTGGAATTACGAGAGGGTTCTGTGGAGGAAAAAGGTGTTCTAAAATTAGTTTCGTTTATGCATGAATTGTAGAGCAATATCATTAACGGGGGAAAGGTAAAGTAATTGCAAAGAACTACCAAAAGAGGGCAGTATGTTAATTTGCTATTATTTTCAACAACTGATTCGGTACTTCATTTCAATTATGAAACTATTCTATGTCTCACTGTGGCCAGTGCTCTGAATCTTTTGTGATATAATGGCTTCACACTTTAAAAATAAAAAATGATGACAACTTTAGTGGTGGGCTAGTATTCTTTCAGATTTGTAACAGTAAATATATACACAGCATGAATTCAACTTCTATGAACTATGCTTCTTTTTCCACCAATGAACAGACATAATACATATTAAGACACTTCTTTCTTATCTTATGGACCTTTCAATTAGATCAGCAGTCTCTAGAATGGCTGATCTAGTTCAAAGAGCCCTGGGTTATTTACCTGGGGTGGCTATTCCTTGAAAGAAATTCCCTGAAAATAATTCCACTTTTTCTTAATGAAAACCAATACACACTACTGAAGAAACTTCAGAAATGACCAATCAGCAAAAAGAAAACTAAAAACGCCTATAATTTTGCCACCCAGAAATAAATTCCATTAACCCTGTGGCATGATTCCTTTCTTTGTGAATGTCTAGTTCCATGTTTCTGAAGACATATGCCTATTTACAAATATATGTATTTACCTTTTTTTTCTTTTTGGGTCATACTCGGCGACACACAGGTATTACTCCTGGCTCTGCACTTAGGAATTACTTCTGGCGGTGTTCAGGGGACCATATGGGATGTTGGGAATCGAACCCGGGTTGGCCGCGTGCAAGGCAAACGCCCTACCCACTGTGCTATCGCTCCAGCCCCATATATATTTATATGTATGATAAAAAGAATCCTGTGACATAAATTATTTATAGCCTAATTTTTCTCTCATGACAGCATATTCTGACCATTATTTTATCAATCATGGAACAATCTTCTATAACACCATTTGTGATGACTACAACAGCATGTCATTGATTGGACAAACCATTCATTTATATAGTGAATTTTCTTTTAATGGACACTTAGGTATGTTGAATTTTTCATTGTTATAAATAGCACTGAACGAATTTCCTTAGGCTAAACTGTTTTGCTTTTGGGGTCACACCGGGCTGTGCTCAGGGCCTATTGCTGGTTCTGTACTCAGGAATCATTCCCGGTGGGGCTTTGGAGGTCATCTGGGGTACCGGGCATCTAACAAGGGTCAGCCATGTGCAAGGCAAGCACCTTACCCACTATGCTATTGCTTCAGGCCTGCTTTGGCTTAACTTTTGCATACATACGGGGCTATTTCTTTAAGAGATTCCACAAATTTTGATTTTCCAAATAAACTACTGAAAACATGAACCAATTTATTTTTTATTTAGGTATATTGAAAATTCTCCTTTTCAGGGTCAGGGTTTGGGTGCATGGCGACCGCTTGCCCAGATTCTATATCCAGCATCTCATGGTCCCCAAGTTCCTGTAGCATTGCTTTGATGGCCTGGGTATATCCAGCACCTCAGGGGTTGAGTAGCATCACACCCTTGAGCCCGTGGCTGAGACTCACAGGTTCATCCCGGGACCTCCTGAACATGGCTTGGGACTCCCTGTTGCCATTTCCATTTCTCACCCATTGGCTTTTGTGTTCTTGTTGCAGTTCTCACACACACTCTGTACATTTGGTTGCCAGTGCTTGCACAACACGTGCTGGGACAACCACACACCTGCCACTCACTATTTTAGTTTTGTTGCTAGCGCACACCAGGCTGCTGTGTGAGGGAAAGGCAAAACTCTTTGCTGTGCACTCCGAAGGGCAGAGCAGCCAGGATGTGCTCAGCGCAGGAGGGCTGCCCCGAAGACCCAACAGTCACCCTACCAAGGCAGATCCTGGAACCAACTGACACTTCCCTCTGCAGCACCTTGGAGGTCCTTTCCCCAAACTCGCATCCACCTGACCTGTTGTCTGCGATACTTCACTTTTCTTTTTTTTTAATTACAAGGAAATGATTGTTTCCATGGTGTATCTAGAGATACAATGAAAGAATAAGAGGACTAAAAAGTTATTGTGACATCTACCCGGCCTCTTTCAGGAGCCCGTCTTACTCAGTAGTGGTAGGCTACGATGCTTTTCTGGAATCACTCAAATGCAGTTCTTCTGAAACACAGGAAGGAATCAGTGCTCCAGGTCCCTGCAGCCCAAGAGGCAGTGCAGGTAGAGCAGTGATTAAAACTGATTTAATTGGAATTGCCACCTTCTCTGTCCCTGGCCTTTGGCAGATTCCTCATGACACTCAAAATATTCTACCAATCAAGAAGTGTACTGGGTGGGCAAGAATTTAATTTTTTCTATTGCTTTTCTTCAACTTTGTAAATCACAGTTCTTTAACTAAAATTTACTTAAAATATATTTTACAAGAAAGATTATAAATAATAACTATTTTTATTTTATCAAATATTGTTTATGGAATACCATTGTTCATTGACAAAAATTATCTTTTTTCCCCCTCTCTTTTGGTGCTACACCTGGCGGTGCTCGAGGTTTACTCCTGCCTCTGTGCTCAGGGGTCACTTCTGGTGGGGCTCAGAGGACCATATGGGGTGCTGGGGACTGAACCCTGGTAATCTGCATGCAAGGAACCCTATCCACTATACTAACTCTCTGACCCCAGTAAGAATTTAATTTTCTCAAGAGCCTGGAGGAAAAGCTCCGTGGCTTACAAAGGTAATGTTGAAGGTTCAATTAACTCTACATGCACGGAACATGGTCCTGGCACCTTTACTGTCTGCAATCCCCACTGCCACAGTGATTTCTGGCCTCGCTCAGCACAACAAATGGATGTGATCCCCAGCAAGCATGGCAACCATAAGATGTGCAAGTACTAAGAAGTGTGAGCCCTAGCAATGTATGTGAGTCCCAGGGCACATTACACCCAGAATGTGCATGAGCAGCCCAGTGCCCCAGTGTGGGTAACCCCCAGTCATCACCAAAAGAGCCACAATAACAAAGGAAAAGAGGACCTTTACCTCTTTCACTGCTGCACTGTTCACAACAGCCAAAATCTGGAAAAAAAAAACCCGAGTGCCCGAGAACAGATGACTGGTTAAAGAAACTTTGGTACATCTATACAATGGAGTACTATGCAGCTGTTAGAAAAGACAAACTCATGAAATTCACATACAAGTGGTACTACATGGAAAGTATCATGCTAAGTGAACTGAGTCAGAAAGAGAGGACAGACATAGAAAGACTGCATTCATCTGGGGAATATAAGTAACAAAATAAGAGACTAACATCCAAGAATAGTCGAGATAAGTACCAGGAGGTTCATTCCATGGCTTGAAGGCCAGTCGCACATGCTAGGGGAAAGGGAAGCTCAGACAGAGAAGGGAACACCAAGTAAAGGGTGTTGGGAGGATCCTCCCAGAATGGGAGATGCATGCTGAAAGTAGGCTATAGACTGAACATGATTGCCACTCAATGCCTCTTCTGCAAACCACAGCACCCAAAAGGAGAGAGAGAACAAAAGGGAATGCCCTGCCGCAGAGGCAGGATGGGATGGGGTGGTGGGAGGGGTGTCAGGGATACTGGGATCATTGGGGGTGGAGAATGGGCACTGGTGGAGGGATGGGTACTCGATCATTGTATAACTGAAACCCAAGCACAAAAACTTGTAAGGTCAACAATTGTACCTCATGGTGTTTACTAATTTAAAAAAGGAAAAGAGGAGAGTCCATTTTTAAAATTGAAAGCTTGTCGAGTACTCTTGGAAGGCTAGAAAGCAATCAGTCACTCACACCTTAGTGTGAGTTGATTATAACTGGCTGGATTCCTCTGCTCAGGTAATAAAGAATTTTTATTACTGGGCCATATGGAAATCCCTGGGAAGAATTGACATTCAATGGGGGCAGCTCTGATAATGACACTTACCAGCCTCTGAGGCAGTGTGGGGTGAGAATGTAGCCAAGGCAGGAAACGGCACAGAGGTGCTGGGCAAGAGCTGAATACCGGGAAGTAGGGATGGAGAATGACAGTGAAGAACAACAGAGGCCAATACTGTTTCTTTTACAATCTTCCCAGTGACTGACCACAGCCAACAATAGCGCCAACCTTCTCCATTGCTACATCCTTTGACCAGAGTGAAAAAGACACAGGACGGGAATTGTGAGCCTCACCTCTTTTTTTAGAGAACAAAAGAAACCGGATAACTCAAGGGTGATAGAAGAGCTAGAGCAGAGATGGAAATTCCTTGGGAAGCCCACACAACTGGTCATCTCTGGGTAGAGAAGTTTGACAAGCATGGACTCTGAATCATGAGGTGAAGTGAGACCAAGATGATAGATCAGGGCAAGAGTAGCCCTGTCAGGTTTGGCTTGCCTATAATGGAGTCTACAGAACTCCCAGCAGAGATATACAAGGATGAAGAGAGGAACTCTGCGGAAGAGAAGCTCCAACTCTTCATTGTGGTTCGCTTTTCTGTTCTGGGTGGATCCTTCCTTCTAGGGGCTGATTGCACAGTGACTAACACTCTGTCTCTTATTACAACGCTCCACATCTCTCAGTCCTGCAAAGAGTGTACCATTGACCTTATATTTTCCCTGAGTCTCAACCTCTGTTTCTCTTGGGCACTCTCCTAACGCACTTCCCATTTATTACAAAGAGGTGGTCGTCATTTGCAGTGAGTCATTTATTTGAGCTCCATGTCACTCTTAGGAGACAAAACATTTCCATTGTTAAAAAGATTCATAAACAAAGAAAGGAAAAACAGTCATAATTTTCAGTTTTTCCTTTGGAAACCTACAAAGAGCACATTTTAAAGCGTTATTCATTTGCTGAAGTCTTGATTTCAGGCAATAAGTTAAAGTATTGTGATCTGTCTATAAAATTTATTCAGTATGATTCCCAAGTGTTTTTTTTAAATCCATATATTCCAATTATGATGAGCAAGAGTTTGGCATGCATA